ACTAAGAAATTTCAACACAACACGTATATTGAACACTAAAAAACATCGCCGATAATCCGACATTATATTGTTTCTCTATATTTTCTTACATTAGATATGGATGTGGACATTTGTTAAAGAAGAGATTTGGCGTAGATTTAAAAGCAGTCCACTTATTTTAGAGAAACAAAAAGAAATCGAAACATTACTATTCAACCGAGAAATCGCTCCTGGTATAGCCGCTGAATTATTACTTGATATTGATCATGGGAAGTCATAATACGCATATTACACATACCTATTTATTGTATATTACTAAATTTATATTCACAAGAAGTCTGAACTTTTTCTTTCAAATTAATCTCGAAAAAAGTTACTTTTAGTTGGTCTTCTCTACAATTTCATTTTAACCCTATGTTCATTGTTATTATTTATCTTAAAGATTATCTCATGTAATTATTTTTATTTATTCCGTCAGATTTGGCGACGATTGTTTTTTTCTTTTAATTTTCACTTTTCAAGTACTTCTTTATATTAGATATAGAATATAAGGAAAATTTAATTGGTCAATTCATTTGTCAATCACACTTGAAATATCTTCAAATTTTATTTCCAGTTTTTTTCTCTGAATTAAATAAATGTGTTATGTGCAAAACTCAGCTGATCAGTCAAATGGATGGTGCTATGACTAGAGGCAATTTTTATTTTCACTCTTCAACAAAACGACTATAAGTTGATGTTATTGGATTTTGACCAGTTGCAAAGTTATAATTATTACATTGTGAATTTTCATATAAGTGATAAAAATAAGACATACAATACCATTTATCTTAAACTCAGAGTTTAGAAATTGGTTAACCTGGTCTCGTTAAATAAATGATATCCTAGACGATCGAGCACTATCGTGAGTTGATTGGTATTAACCTTGTACATCATAAGATCCTGGCTCAGTCGTCTAAAAGAAAGCGTTCGCGCGTGTGACTGAAGGTACCGTATTCGATCCTCGATGGTGGAGTCGTAGATGCACATTAGTAAGATGTCTAAGACAAGGACGAAACGGGCATCCAGTGGTTTCATGTTCTTGATGTTTGTCTACTTTAGATCGGTGCATGATCTTAATAATATCCCAGATTGTAGATGTGCTACTTTTTGAGTGTACTTCAAAGATCGTGAATGTTAATGTATCTGTCGCATCTCACCTTCATATCCTTAATTTGTTAGTTATTTTTGACGTGTTTCATCCATATTCCTTATAGTTATCAAATTAACAAACCTGTATAACTCACCTCTATTCGATAATTGAATTTATGAATCGATTTAAACTAGATCACCACGGAAAACCTGGAAACATTGGATGGCCGTTTTGTCCTAATATGGGACTCCTCAACAATGCGCACCCACTTTCATTTGTTATTATTTACGTTTTTACTTCCCTTTGACGTGGGCACAGATTTTGACTAGCTTTTAGTACATCTATTAGTGAAGCAACGATCCCTCACTTTATTATGGACTACTGTGTGTAAAAGTTAACTATAAATACGACTACTTAGCTGTAGTAATTGACGTCGTTGGAAAGGAAATTCTCTTCACTCAAACAGTCTTTATTCTCTTTATTGGTATAATCTTGCGCTGGAACTTTTTTCACTGCTTGTTAAACCTTTTTCAACTGGCAAGTTGTATTGTTTGTACTACCCCGTGATACACTGTCATCAATTTGACAATCACCTCTTGTGAATAATATATGACAAAAATGTAAGAATCTTGTAATAAAACCCAGCAAATCGCAACAATGTCTGCATGTTGATGAAAGCTGTAAGCTCAGTGACTATCCCACAGACATTTACAAGCTGTTTTAAGCTAAAACAATAGACAAAATGCAGTTTGTAAGGTTTCCGACAGTCATGTGTTTTTCGCATGACCCACATGGTGACTGAGTACGCGTATATTATAAGTTTGTAATAACCTACAAACACGTGGCCAGTTTTACACATTTAATACGAAAGATCCTTGTCATTAGCTGTTTAGGTTTTCTGGAAAGGAAGCTGTGGTAAATTAGTTTCGGACTAACTTTTTTCACTCACCCGACCGTTGTTGCTACCTTGACGTGGTGGTCGGGCTTGCCTATCGTGATGAAGCAACCGAGCTATACTGACTGGAACAACTGTTCCTCAAGGTTCTACCACGTCAGAAAGGTCGGTTGAAGAGCGGTAAGACAAACCCAAGGTCCGAAGGCGAAGTCGTACTGCTGACTGTACAGAGGTGTGGCAGCAGTAAGGTGTTTCCTTCAGACAACAAGCATGATAGCGATGCTGCCTTCCCACAAGGAGGAATGGGGTTAGAAAAGATCGACCCTAAAAATGCACACCTCGCCTTATCCCACGGATATCCGCCTCCGGCGGTAAGGTCTCAATAAGTACGGAGCTAACACAAAAATTACCCATAAAAAGGTCGTGTTTGACCGACCTCAAGCAGTTGTCCCTTAGGCACTGCGGTCACGCTACCTGGTCACTAAGACCACTTCTAATCCGATTTCCTTTTCAGGTACTTCCAGAAGAACTCTTCCACGGTGTGGGCAACCGGGAAGTGATAACCGCCCTCGTACCTCCAACAGCACTCAGGACCACTGGATTCATAATCAACCTCCCTCTTCAATTCCTATTATTCCTCCTACATCAACTTCAAACTCTAAACTTCCTTTTTCGACTTCCCCCTCAAGTGACACCATAGCCAACGATTCTAGTGCTCAAAACACTCTCCCAGGTCTACTGAAACCTCGCTCCACACTACACATTGGAGTCTTCAATGTACGCACCCTATGTCAAATCGGTCAGCAGGCTTCCTTGGCTAAAACCCTAGAATCTCGTACCATTGATGTATGCTGTGTCTCCGAAACACGCATACAGGATCCCAGTGTGGTCATTCACTTGACCTCACCTGGGCAAAACGGAGAGCCAACGAGATACACCCTCCGTATATCCGGTGACCCGATGGCCAGCTCTCGTGGACTGGCAGGAGTAGGGATATCACTAAGCATGAGGGCTGAACAAGCACTGTTAGAGTGGATCCCCGTCAACAGCCGTCTATGTGCTGTCCGGCTAAACGGCTCCGTAAGAACTCGGAAGGATAGGGACACACGTCGTTGCCTTTTTGTCGTTTCTGCCTACGCTCCCACCGACTGCAGCTCAGATAAAATGAAAGATGAATTTTACAGAAAGCTTTCTGAACTTCTTCAGAAAGCTAAACGTCCAGACATAGTACTTGTAGCAGGTGACTTTAATGCCCAGATAGGTAGTCTAAACCAAACAGAAAGGCATTTAGGTGGGTATTATAGTATACCGGCACAAAGAACAGATAATGGTGATCGTCTGCTGCAACTATGCTCAGACAATCGTTTATTTTTAGCAAACACAAACTTTAAGCATAAGGAGAGACATCGTCTAACATGGCGACCCCCTACACCAAACCAACGATGGTTTCAAATAAACCATATTGCCATCAGTCATCGTTGGAGAGGGTCGGTAGAAGATTGTCGCTCATTCTGGAGTACCTGCTTGGACACCGACCACGCCCTAATACGGGCACGCATCTGCTTGCGCCTCATCGGACGCAAAAGAGCCACACTAAAAAGACCGATTAGAACTGAATTGAGTAGCAAGAAAACCAAAAGTAAGTTCCAGGAACAACTGAGGTCACACTTAGGTAGTTCTGAAAATGAGGCTGACCCAGATGTTGTTTGGAAAGATATACTAACAGCTGTGGAAACAGCAATGACATCTATTAGTCACTTAAACCACAGAGTTACAAAGAACCAGTGGATTTCTTCAAAGTCTATCACACTGATGGATTCTCGCAAACTCGCCCCATCAGGTTCCGAACATGATGAAGAGCGATAACAAATCAGATCTAGGTTAACCAAAAGTCTAAGGAACGACCATGAGCGGTGGTGAGTAACGAAAGCAAAGGAGATGGAAAAGGCGGCGGCTATAGGGAACACAAGACAGCTTTACAGACTAATAAAAGAAACTGGAATTAATAAGTCAAGTGTAAGTGAGATTATATCGGAAAAAGATGATGCACTCATCTGCTCCCAGTCCAGACGTTTAGAACGATGCGCGGAACACTTTAGGGAACAGTTCAGATGGCCTTCAGCGACTCTACAACTACCCTCCATTCCCAGACAGTGTGAATGGAACATTGAAGTACGTCCCCCAACTCTAGCAGAAGTTCAAAAGGCTATAGTTAATCTGAAACGAGGAAGAGCAGCTGGTCCAGATGGATTGGCTCCAGAAGTCTTTAAGGACGGTGGTCCAATTTTAGCGGTTAGGTTGACTAATATTTTAGCTAAGATCTGGGAGTCAGATGTTATTCCATCTGACTGGTCGCAATCACTTATCGTTCCAATATACAAGAAAGGATCAAAATCATCTTGTGACAACCACAGAGGGATTAGTTTAACAAATATAGTATCTAAAATACTAGCCTCAATAATAATCAGACGCCTAAGACTCGTGAACTGCAAACACGAGAAAACCAAGCTGGCTTCAGACCTGGTCGTGGCTGCATCGACCACATATTCACCATTCGTCAGGTTCTAGAACACAGGCATACTTATCGAAGTCCGACAATGATGGTCTTTCTTGACTTAAAAGCAGCATTTGACTCGGTAGACCGCGAGATTCTGTGGCAGTGTCTGTCATTGAAAGGCGTACCTCAGAAGTACATAAACCTTGTAAAGGCTCTTTACTCGAACACTACTAGTCGAGTCAGAGCTTATGGTGAACTGTCATCTACTTTTGCAACCTCAAGTAGTGTCCGTCAAGGCTGTCCACTTTCTCCATTTCTGTTTAACTTCATCATAGACCTACTGATGGAAATAACATTCTCGTCGACTGAATTCTCGGGTATTGATCTCCTTCCAGGAGGTCCACTTACCGACTTAGAATACGCAGATGACATAGTCCTGTTTGGTGAAGACGCTGATAAAATGCAGTCTTTTGGTAACACTAAGCAACAATGCCAGAATGTTTGGAATGCGCTTCTCTCTCTCTAAATTCAAGTTGTTGCTTCAGAACTGGTCTGCGTCAACACCTGAACTGAGGATAGGGAGTGAAGTAGTCGAACGCGTTGACAACTTCACTTATCTTGGAAGTCTGATCAGCCCTAATGGGTTGGTATCGGACGAAATCTCAGCACGGATTCGAAAAGCTCGTTTGGCTTTTGCCAACTTACATCACCTGTGGCGAAGGCGAGATATCCGTCTATCAATAAAAGGACGAGTATATTGCGCGGCAGTCCGTTCTGTTTTAATTTACGGCATCGAAACATGGCCATTAAGAGTAGAAGACACTAGTAAGCTACTAGTATTTGACCACAGATGCCTTAGAAACATTGCTGGCATCTGCTGGGATCACCGGGTAAGTAATAGTGAGGTTAGACTCAGGGTATTAGGTAATGATGGTAAATCAGTTGATGAGGTTGTTAATCTTCATCGACTGAGATGGTTGGGCCACGTGTTACGTATGCCTGAACACCGATTACCACGTCGTGCAATGCTAACGGGTGTTAGAGATGGTTGGAAGAGAATTAGGGGCGGCCAAATGCCCTGGTACGGCCGAGAGTGGGGTCACGCGTATATAGCCTCTGCCAGGGAAGTCCTACTCACGGCCTTCTCGTGGCGAGGGTGTTATTTACGAAAATGAGAGGACGAAAAGCGAATGTCCGGCGCTTTAACCGGATTCCAAATCAATGGTGCACATGGGCTCCAGTATCCTGCGGGAACAAATGGCGTATGAACCAATTGTTGGTCACCGGCTTCCATGGGACTGCATCTCCTTACGATGCTCCACTGCCTTGTGGATCAGACCCTCAGGTAGAAGGCTCGGGGTGTGGCCCCCTAAGAAAACCACCTGTTTCGGTTTGGGCACCCGGGCATTATCACAGCCCTCACACATATCGAATGAGATTTGTGTGGCGCATATGTATTTGATGCCTCTTTGTACAAATATCTATGTGTTGAAATAAATAATAATAATACCACAATGTGATATTGAGTAGGGTAGCGATCGACTGTCGTAAGCAATAGGCCTGTTAGAGGACTCGTAATCAGTTGAAGTATGACCAGAAGAAAGTCGTAACAACTACAATCAACCTAGCAGTTGTACATATTTAATTACCAATCAACCTAACTTAACACAATCAACATAGTCCGAATAATTAGACTGAAAATAGTATTACCCGGCATAGAACTACTTCAAAAACTTGTTTTTGTTGAACTTAAAAATGAACTACATCGATATTTTGAATGTACTGCGGCGAAGCATATATATACATCTGTGAATATCCATAATTAATGGATACCTTTTTTCAAATCAAACTATCAATCTCCCCACTGTTGATAAAATAATTTTACTTTTGAAATGTTCATGAAGAACAAGGATTTATAAAAAAAGAGAGTTATATTTCACACCAGTAGCTTCAATAGAAGTAACTTTAGCCCATAAAGAACGTGTATGCCACCTGTTGATAAGATCATTAAGTTCTGAATTATCATACTCTACCCCTAGAATAAATCCAAGTACACAGCCCCCGAAACCTGCTCCAGTGACTTTCGCTGGAATACCAACTAGTTTTAATTCTTCAATAATTTCGTTTGAAATAGAATGTGACACTCCCAATTCTTCAAGCAAATGTTGATTTCTAACTATATGACGAGTAAGCGATCGGCTAATTTCACAGTTATCTTTCTGATTCAAAACATCAATTACTTCGTCCACGACGATACCTATTTCTTTGAAAATAGAATTTACACACGTTTTATCTTCCTTCCACTTATCATAAACCTTCCGTACAGCGAGAGATGTGGAACGAGTAATGTTAGTATTGACTATGAGTAATTTGACAGTATCGAAATTCGAAATGTTAATTTCCTGAAATAAAGGAAGTTGATCTTTCCGGAAAACTATAGTACCTCCATATGTGCATATTGTACTATCTAATCCTGAAGATTTTCCATGAATGATGCATTCAGCGTCTCTAGCCAAAGAAGATATTAATTTACATTGAATCTTATCAATGTCCCAAACTTGTACAAGTGGATAATTGTTAGTTAATAACAGAACAGTAGCAGTAGCAGCGACTGAAAATGCACCTGATGATCCTAGGCCACATCCACTAGGCATATCTGACTGAATTTCTATACATATGGTATTTTTTCCATTAAACATTGGGAATTGTTGATCGCTACACTTATCGCTTCGTAGTTGTGTAGCACGAATAAACAGATATACTATGACACATGTGCTAACAATGATAGGTGAATCATGAAGAGAGTCATGATAAGCACAATTAAAAAGATCTGACACTAATTTCCACGCATAATCCATAACAGATTCTTTATTTGAAATAGAATGAAACATTTTGATTGGAATATGAATGCTATTTTCTGATAAATCTTTAAAATCTATAATAATATCTTCACAAGCTTCATTCTTAATGGTAACTGTAAAATAACACCGTAAGTCAATTGTAGCAGCGATAGCTGGGTAACCGTATACAACAGCATGCTCACCGAATAATATAGCTTTCGCAGGAGCAGATACAACAAACTTCTTCATAAATGATTGGAGTTAATGTTATCTTGTTGGCAAATAATTCACAATAAATTTTGCTCATGTAAAACTAGTATCCTAGGAAGAAAATAAGCGATGATTACAGCGAATTAGGATGAAAAACAATGCACACAAAAAAACTCGCTTCAAAGCACGAGTGACTTAAAATAATAGGGTTTTAAGAAGCTATTCAGTATGTTGAAAAAACAATGAACTATCAAGAAGTTATAAATAGCAACAAAGTGGATACCGTATGAAACCTCATTATATATTATTTACCGGTGGAGCGAAGGCTTTGTGGTTAAACATATTTTGCCTTGAGCCACTGCGTAACCAGATTGGACTCCGCTCCAACTACTTCGGTTTGGGCGACCACGTAGTATCACTAATCATCGCATTTAAAGTGTGATTTGAAGCCAGGTACCTGGTAAATGGGTTAATAATGGTCAAAATTTGTTGTTTGGTCAATGGTCTTAAAGTAATAGCTTTCCGAGAAGTGATAACTGACAACGTAAAATTATCATAACTTCGTTATTGGAAAGTATTAAATTATCTATCAAGAACTATAGAAACTAAAGAATAGAACAATTTGACTACTTTCTCAACTCATAAATACGATATATTAAAAACAACTGACACATTTAAATAGCTGGAAAATATCATTAGACTTGGAGTCACACTTTTGTATAAAGGCTAGTGATACTGCCCGGTCATTAAAATTAATTTAAGTGGAGTGTAATTTGGACCTACAACCTACCTCTTTTATGAACTAGTGTCAGAAACAAAAACCTGTTACACACTACTTAGCCGTACAATGTGTATAATATAGGGAACTTTTGTTAGCGACTTCAGTTACAAAAAGTATTCCTGCCTTAAGAAAACCGAAATAACTCAATAAAAACTTATTAAGCTCGCTTACAAATAGATAGGAATAGATTTTACCATACACACGTAAACAAAATATACTGCTTTGGATTTGTGAGCTGGACGATTAACTAAAACATTAGCTGGTTGTTAATTACAAGCAAAATCGAAAGAAAAAAACAACAGAAAGGATATAAAATTAAGTGTTATGAAGGTTGTTATGACCTCTGGAATCGACACGAAAACAATAGAACAATCAGCAGCTAAACTACAGAAAATAAACTTACGATTTAGATAAGGGCGAACATAAGGTACCTAAAATTTGATTTAAAAAAACTATTGTATTATACACGTTATTTATTGTGAAAGTAATGTCAAGAAATTCATCTTCAAATATCCATATGTAACAGCAGTCATCAGAAATTTAAAGCAATATAAGTGTATAATATCAGCTGACATAACCAATATGGATCTGAAACTCTAAACTAATCTTAGCTAGCCGAAACATTACGATTTAATACAGAATATTAAATCTCCCAAAAGCCAATAAATCGTCGGACGTTTACTATAAATGCAATGTAACTAGGTTAGCTTTACACTGGGAAAATTGAAGTAGCCAACTGAATCTAACTTAAGGTGTTAGAAGCGTTCGATTGATTGATGGTGTACGATTGCGTGTATCAGGGATTTTGTTAATACCTTCAATAGATTAGTTGACAGACATGTGAGGAGTTAAGTTATCTGTGTTCTAGTCTTGGTATGCAATGACTCAAACCGAAAACAGTTCTAGTTAGCTAGTAGAGATACTTTAACCATACCATAAAAGCAACGAATCACATTTGATAAATTTTAAAGATACACAGAAATCAAAACAACAGACTTTCGAAAACGCATTAGCTCAGCTCGAGGAAAGTTTCGTGTGAGACATGAGGTTATTCCTATACAAGAATAAGAGGCTAACGCGATCTTTTTTCTTGCTTTAGAAACGAAATCCAGACAAAACATTCAGAGATATACAATTAAGTGAATGGTTATCTGAACCTATTTGGAATTGTTAATGTATGAGCCTACGATGAATACCTTTCCACTGTGCATAAAATTATTTCAAAAATACATTTTGCACTGTAATATGCTTCTCTTCTATTCCCACGATTTATTTTGTGGATAAGCTGGATTAAGACTTTATTGGATCCCGACAAATATAGTGAGAATATTATATAAGAAGAATTTTAACCGTCTAGTGAAATTTATTCAACTCTTGAAAAATATGCGTCCTAGTATTGCACATGACACATTCACTTCCTGTTATCGACTTACTTGAAAATTATCAGTGTAAAGTTGTGGAGAATCTTAGTTTTTAATTGAAGTCATGAACCGATCAATGTCAGACCACAATTGAAAACCTGGAAGCTCCTCAGCAGTGAGCATCCACGATTCCGCAAGCGAGAACCAAATCCAGGATCTTCGGTCTCAAAAACCACCATTTTTTTCTTTGGTTCAGAATAAGACCAGAACGGTCTGAATGTAAAACTACACAAAGATCACTATTCATTGCTGTATATTCAAAGCATATAATGTATTATTCGGCTGACGTACTCGATGCCCATACAAAAATAAAAATAGCAAAATCTTTCTAAATACAGAAAAGTCATAACACGTTTTCGTCATACATCATTACGACTTTCTAAGGTTAATCAAATACGTCAACTATATACTGAAAACAGTGGACAAATGTTTTATCTTTAGATACTTCCTTAAGTACAACTGCCAATCTATCGGTAGAAAATTGTTTTTACAATCAACTGTATCTAAAACATATTGGGTTTGTACCAGACACAAAAATCCTGATACTCGTCACACCTCACTACTTCAGGTGATGTTCTTCAGGGTTGTCTGCTTCCTCCATTTATACTTAACCTTGTCATAGACATCCTTTTGGCGATAACACTTTTACCGTCTGACTTTTCAGTTGGTTTTTTACCAGGAGATTTACATGTTCACTTATAATACACAGACGATATAGTTCTGTTCGGTGAAGACACTAAGAAATTTCAGTTTTCCGACCACCTTAAGCAACAATGCAAGCACGTTCGGAATGCGGTTCTCTACCTCCAAATGTAAAATGTTACCTAGATAATAGCTTGCGTCATCGCTTGAATTGGTGATGAGTGAAGTAGTTGAACACACCGACCGTCTAAAGCGTATTGAGTCTCATCAGTAATGACGGTCTAGTATCTGACGAAATCTCAGCACAAATTCAGAAGACTTGATTGGCGTAGGTGAGAAATCCGTCTTCCAACCAAAGAGCGAGTTTACTGCACAGCGATTCACTACATTCTACTTTATGGGTGTGAAACATGGCCATTAAGAATAGAAGATATTCGTGGGTTACTGGTATCTGATCACAGATGTCATCGAAGCATTGCTCGTGTATTTCCGGAAAACTGAGTGGACGATTCCAGGGTTAGGAATAGGGTACGAGGTGAGGATGGAAAGTCGATTGACGAAATAGTAAATCTTTATCAACTGAGGTGGTCGCGATATTTGTTACGCATGGCCCCCATCGCCTACCTAGATGAGAGATGTTTTCTGATGTATGAGTACGTTGGAAGAAAGCTCGAGATTTGAAACCAAAACATTTCATCAGTCTATGCAGTCACTGAAGATTAAACTTAGTCATGTTAATAGGTACGCACTACCTGGTTGGTGTCCGCGTCATTACCGTAACCAATCACTAGAGACTTTGAACCATATGACTCTAAATTGTCGTAGGTGCATCCATTCTATCATCCCTCAAATATTGGGTTTCTAAATTCCTCATAGCACTTCTTGTTTTTATTTTGCCAATTAAGATTTTCTTCTCAAATCGTATCGTCGATGTTACTATCTCAGTGTCCGTAGGTATGGTATGTGCTTTGCACCTTCGAAGTGCAAAGTAATTCTACAAGACTGGCAGGATTCCAATCCTGTACTCACCCTGGATGGTGAGCATATAGACGTAGTCGAGAAGTTCATGTATCTGGGTAGCTGCATAAGTGCTGGTGGGGGTGTGAGTGATGAGATCAATGCACGTATAGTGAAAGCCAGAGTGGCTTATGCCAATCTGGGCCATCTTTGGCGCCTTCGTGATGTTAGTCTGGCTGTAAAAGGTCGGATCTACAACGCGTCGGTGAGAGCAGTTTTGCTCTATGGTTGTGAAACCTGGCCTCTCCGAGTTGAGGACGTTAGACGACTCTCTGTGTTCGATCATCGCTGTCTCCGAAGGATTGCTGACATTCAGTGGCAACACCATGTCAGTAATGCAGAGGTTCGGCATCGTGTGTTTGGGCACAGAGATGATAATTCAATTGGTGTCACCATCTTGAAACACCGACTTCGGTGGCTTGGACATGTTCTACGAATGTCGTCCCAGAGAATTCCACGTCGTGCATTATTTGCCGACTCTGGGACTGGTTGGAAAAAGCGGAGAGGTGGTCAGTGCATGACATGGTGTCGTGGTATGAAAGAAAGCTGCAAAGGACTGGCTTGTGTTGGTCCCTCACGACTCCCTGGTTGGGGTCTGAGAGATGGTTCTACACAGTGGCTAGAGACGTTATCAGATATGGCTCAGAATAGAAGCCAGTGGCGATCCTGCTGTAACCTTCTTTTACTTTCTTCATAATAGTGGTTGTGTCTCCCTTACTTGAAAGATTTCTTCTGATTGTACCTTTCTGTTCCATCGTTACGACCACACTACCTTTTGTGGTCCTTAGTGTTTTTTTTTCTATCTCTCTTCGAATTTTCATTGTTTTGTGTGGCGCATATATATTGGCGCTCTCTTGTACCAATATTTATGTGTTCAAATAAATAAATAAATATCTCTATTATGGGATTTGGCCTGACATCTCTCAGTGCTTATTAATTAATGACAACCCGAACCCGATGTACATACGTACAGATGGGTTTAAGGCAAGTGTTAATTTTCACTGCGGTAACTAGCAAACAATACAGGCTTTGTATGAACCAGGAATATTTTTATTCCGATTATCAGAGCCGATAGTGCAATATTACATGTTAAATTCCCCAACTTCGTCTTTTATTTACATCTAATGTGGAAAAATCAGGACGTTTGGAAGGACAATAACAATCTTAAAACACTCTGATGATTCTAATTTTGTTATTAATGTGTAAAAATTTCGGGTGAATTTAGTGATTGTTTAGGGGGAAATGTGAACTGTGGAAAAACTCAGGTAAATTCCGATCAAAAAAAGCCTAGACTTTCAAACTTTCAAACGAATCCCATACCAGGATGAATTTTGGGGATTCTAGTTGCATATTTTGAAAGTGTAGTTTTGCCCAACTTCCAAATTAGTAGGTTTAAAGATCGTAAAGAACAAATAATATAAGCTTCAAATTATGTTAATTCACTGTGTTATGTTCGGAAGCGTTTCAAAATATTTAGGAACATATATTTATTAAGAAGGAGTATTAAGAGGAAATAAGGCCATACTACACCGAACTCACAGAATGCTAAACCCCAACGACCTTGAGAGATCAAAATCGCAACATGACTGTCTTCAGTCTTCAGTCTTCAGTAATAAGGATAGGTCTGTCGACCTATATTAATCCTTGCAGTTTGTAATACAGTGGAGGTCCAATCTCGTTTTGAATATATTAACAGATGGTGCTGATATTACGTGTTCCGGTAGAGAATTCCAGTAATTCACTACTCGGTGCGAGAAACGGAACTCCAGACGTAAACGGTTTGATCTCGGTTTTTGAACTTTCTTCGAATGTCCTCTCAAATGATCGGTTCTAGACGGGAGCAAAAGATAAGACATGTTAATACCAAGGTCATCGTTCAGTATACGATAGGTCAATATTAGATCACCCCTTATTCTACGGTAAGATAACGGAAATAAGTTAAGGTGTCTCAGTCTGTCTTCATAAGATAGGCCAGATAGACCTTGTACCATCTTAGTAGCTCGTCGTTGGACTCTTTCTAGCATATCTGCTTCATATTTGAAACAAGGACACGCTGCTTGAATCCCGTATTCTAAATGTGGTCGCACATAAATCGGGTATAGTAATCTAAACATTTCATCATCTAAATACTGGAAAGACCTACGAATTTACCATAATACCCTATAGCCTTTCGCAGCAGCAGCCTTACAGTGACTAGTCGTTTTGAGATCATTGCTTAATATGACTCCTAAATCTTTATAGTTTCTTACTTTTGGTAGCACGAATCCACGTAGTGTATAGTCATACGATTCATCAGAGTTATTTAATTGCATCACTACACTCTTATTAGGATTTACTTCTAGTGACCACCTATCTAACCATGCCACCAATGAGCTAAGATCGTCCTGTAATACTATCCTATCCGACATACTATGTATGGGTCTCCAAATCTTTATGTCATCAGCGAAGAGTAGGACGGATGATTTTGCTACAGTTGGCAATTCATTTACATAAAGTAAAAAGAGAAGAGGACCCAGGATTGTACCTTGGGGAACCCCACTTTTTACAGGTACCCACGAGGAGAGAGTCCCATTAACCCTTACTCTTTGTCTCCTGTCATGGAGAAAGTTACTTATCCAATCGACGACTGTATAATGGATTCCAAAACGTTTCAGTTTGAATTTAAGACCAGAGTGGGAAACTATATCAAAGGCTTTACTTAGATCTATGAAAATCACATCCACAGGAGCATTCCGATCCTTTGCCGCAGCCCAATCTTCTCGTGCAATGAGAAGATTTGTCAAGCAAGATAGGCCTTTCCGAAAACCATGTTGTTCCCTGGAGAAAAGATTTTGCCCTTCAACATAGTTTATAACAGCTATCCGAATGATTTTCTCCATCAGTTTTACAACTGCACTAGTTAAGCTAACGGGTCTATAGTTACTAACTAAATCCCTACCCCCAGCCTTATACACCGGACTTATTATGGCGTCTTTCCAGTCTCTAGGCAGTTTGGACTGTCTCAGAGACATGTCGAATAGTATCGCTAATGGTTCAGCAATTTCATGTGAAATGGCTTTCATAATCCTAGGATGAATATCGTCAGGACCACTGGACTTATCAGGTTTGAGATGCTGGAGTAGCCTTAAAACAGTATCTTTCTCAATGACTACAGGATCCATCAGCGAGCCGTCACGGTCGCAACGAATCATTGGTCGTTCCTCATTACCGATAGAAAACACTTTACTGAAGTATTCCGATAATGCTTCAGCTTTTTCGGCATCATTGTCTGCTAAGATTAACGGATTTTCTCGTATCAAAAGTGATGGAATTCCATCACTTCTCTTAGTTCGCCTTTTTATATACGAGAATAACCGTTTCGGACTATATCTAGAATCCCTAACCAAGTGTTTTTCGTATGATAGCCTAGTCTTACTTATTAACGCTTTACAGGCATTCCTAATCTTACAATAACTGGATCTGTATTGTTCTAAGCCAGTAGAGATGAACATATCCCAGTGATTCTTCCTTTTTCTAAGGAGTTTCCTGACCGTTTTAGTTATCCATGGTGGACTATTATTCGGTCTTCGCGGTACCAGGAATGGTATGAACGGGGACGTAACTAGTCTAAATTTACCCTTAAATACAGACCATGCTTCTTCAACTGATATGCTAGTATCTACTAACCAATTTGTCTTAGCAGCACATTCCTGAATGGCTGATATGTTAGCTTTCCATACATTTGGGCGAGGTGTAACCTGATCGTATAACATGTCCCTAGTACGAAACGTGAATGACAAAACAGCGTGGTCGCTGTTCACTAACGGCGGGAGAATATTGAAGTCGACAATATCCTCAGTCTCATGAGTGATTACCAAATCCAGCAGAGAAGAGCCCTGGTTAACACCAAAACGTGTGGGTTGGGATACATGCTGTACTAGTGCATGCTCCATTATTGTTATCAGGAACTTACTATCAAAGGAGTTTATAGATCCTGCTGTGGTCATATCAGTCCAACTAATATCAGGTGCGTTAAAGTCTCCTATTATCAAACATCTGGTATTTTCACTCCAAAGATGAATGTGCTCTAAAACAAAGTCATCAGCTAGGCAGATTGGGCTGCGATAGATGACACCGAGCATAAATGTACTACATCCGATAGCCAACTTACAGCTAATGACTTCACAAGTACCGCTATCATGGGAATCTCTAGTAGAGGAGCGGATATTTATGCTATTAGCTATGTATAACAGGACGCCGCCTCCTTTCCTACATCTATGTCTGTCACTCCTGATGCAGTGATATCCGGATAATTCTGGAGTAATGTCTAAGTCATCGACTAACCAAGTTTCTGTCACTGCTACTATGAGTGGCTTTACCCTGTCCACTAGTGCTTCTAGTTCATAGAACTTATTTCGTAGACTACGAGCGTTGGCAAATAAAACTCCTAAGTAGAACAGCTTATCCACACAGGCCTTGGTAGCATTCGCTTCCAAGACCTGACTATCCGAAAACCCACTAACCGGAGATTTTCCTTGCCGTTTTGCCGACGGGTTTCAAGTTCAGCTAGTGCTTTCTTCCTTTTTATTCTATCTTCGAGAGATATATCAGGTCTAACTCGGATGTCAGAATTGTCGTGACAACGAGCGCTACTTAACAAGAGATCCCGTTGCTTCTCCGATCCTAGGATTACCTTAAAGAGTCTGCATGGACGGGGTTCAACATTGTCCTCGGTCCTCTTGCCTATTCTTACTAACTTTTTAACCTGAACTCCTTTGGAGTTATCTGGTAAAATACTACGAATGTATTCTCCTAGTTTTTCTAAGTCATGCGCGTGTCTAATTTTCGGATCAGGGTCATTTGACTCCCGCAAATTGCTCACCATAATATTCGATGTTATTAAATTTTTCTTCTCAGTTACGCCAGGATGGATTTCACTCTTACGATCAGATCTTGGTATTGCAACTTGTGGCTCACAATTTGAGTCCACCATTGAGTTACTAACTACCTGTGTACTGCTTACAGCTTTTTTCTTTTCATTTCGTTTTCTACGTACCGTAGTCCATTTTTCATCCCTAGTAACACTGGGACTATTTGGAACGGTGACTGTTTTATCCAGATCGTCGGTTCTCACTAAAGGTGCATGATTAACAATGTCAGTACTAGGTGGTACTACTCCCCCTGTTAATATCAACGGAGATTTCACTTTTGCGTCGTTCAGAGTCGGTTTTTTGAGGCGTTGCGTAACAACACTGACACATTCGTCACTGTCAGTGCCCGTGTTGTCGGCACATATGCCATCATTCTTCTTACAGGCCAAAGCCAATAGGCTCATAGCCTCCTGTATTAGCAATGCCTTATTGGCACAGCAAAACATGCAAAGCCAATGTGAGTTAGGCTTCGAACATCTTTTATATGCAGTGGGACTTAAACGGGTGCACATTTTGTGGAACCATTTATTGCATTCGTCACACTGCATTCCCTCCTCCACAGGGAACAAGCAGTTTGGTTGTCCACATTTGTGGGTACTACCAACCATTTTAGTATGATCAAGGTGTAACACCAATATGATCACAGTATGAACCACAAGACAACTCTAGCAAGATGTCAAACCTTAACTAAAGTACTTTGATAACGACCAAGAATGCTTCCGAGTGTAATAAATACACAAAAGCCAAAAAAACTCAGTAAAATATCACCTTAACTGGAGTAGATTCAATTAAAGTGTAAATCGTAGTTTTGATACGTAATTTACGATCAAAACAGTTTACTAATTTAACGAGAAACAATACCACTGTCCTTTTTAGATAGCGCGCTATTTAAATTACTAGTGCATTCTTACCCCTGTATTCTGTCTAGTATATCTGTATTCAAATCGTCCAAATTTTCTGAAGCAGTGCAAGCAATATTTTGCCAGATGTTTACAATAAATTTCACGCAAGCTATTTAAAATTAGTAGTGGTATCTTAAGATACAAACGAGAAAATTTGCTCGTTCAGTAAGTCACTTGGTTTTCATTGTGTAATATATAAGTCTCAACCTTTTGTGTTCAGCGTCACTTACTTTTACAGTTTTAAAAACATTTGTTTTGGATTTTTTTTGTTTTTTCATACTGTTGTGTTGTTCACTCTGTAAGTTCATCAAGCAAATTTAATGGCGTACACAAAACATCGTTGTGGAAGACTCACATGCTCCTTTCCAGTCAAGGATAGAATGCAATATGTCAACTGCGAAAGAGTTTTCACAACGTGTGCATCAAACATCGGTTGCATATGAGAGGTGTTTAAATCCACTATCACATCAGTTGAGCAAATCATACTGCTCTGCAAAGTGGCTGATGATTCTTAAGGCAATGTGGCTATTGAACACAGACAGAAGGGTGGCCTCAGATTAACAGTCAGCACTGGATGATCAGCTGCCAGATCTTAAGGAAGCAACGATGGTCGTCATGAGTCTGCCTGCAGATTTGAATGAAACCACTAAGGTGGACCCACATAGTTAAATGGATGTTAAATACACAGATCTAGGAGTGGCACTACGAAAAAGAGCTCTGAGAGAAAACAACTTCCAGATAGCTCTAATATATACGACTTGACGTCTTCAACTACTAATCCCCATATAAACACAAAGCAGGCTATAAATATGCGAAGAATAGGCAGTGTGGATTTGATGAAGACACAAACTAAAGCCAATGATTGGCCCACTATAGCACCTAGGGACTTCGGCGAAAGAATTGAGGCCTGAACTGTTGTCAACACATCGGACTATGGGGACAAGAATAACGTTAGAAGCAAAACCTCAAAACATGTAAAAAAGGACCTCGCAGAGACAACATTCGTTTTTACATAAGTTAGGAGAATCTTCATAAAATGAACCAAAGGTTAAATTCGAAAAGGTTCCCAGTCAATATTATGTCCTTAATAAGCAAGCTAATTTCAGAGACAGTGATAGAAGTTGGCAATCACAATTTCACATAATACGATAAAAGTGAAATCTGAAAGAATGGGGGTAAACCGCCTAATAAAATTTACTTTTGCTTCTATAAAATTAACGCAAACTAACTCGATGCGGAATACATGTACGTGTGGATATTGACCTAGTCAACTGTGTTACGAGACAATCGACAAAGGGAAAAATAAACGGTTAAAAATATCGAATAATGAAGGGTATTCACATCGAAAAAGCTCGTAGTAAAACGGACACAAAACCATTTTAGGTTGTACAGGAGCCTTTTCACGGAACCAAGGGAATGATAAAAAATGCTTATAGCTAACTGAACAAAATAGTTGGGCGCAAAAAACGTGGTGAACACAGAACACACTGCTGTCACAGCCATCTCAGAATTATGGTTAACGACAGAATTGTATGACGGTGGAGTTCCATTGAACGGACTCCAGGACCTATGAACTGTAGAGAAAGGGAAATTATATTAGCTATAGAATACCACAATCCAGAATGTGTGGTGGAAAGCATAACAATAAATTAAAATAACCCAAAATCAAGAAGGTGTCGAAATGTTAGAAAGAAACATAAACAAACAAATACTTTCAACACAAAACATAGTTTGTATGAAAGTAATACCTATGCACTATGTAATTCAGTGTACTTTTCGTACCTAACTGTATAATGAAATTTTTTAAATTGTCATTATTTTTATACACGGATTGTTACGGAAGAACTGGACGTTTGGCTGATTAAGACCCTATTATTGTACATCAATAATTTTACTGTGTTTTTGGATGAATTTGTTTTACTTAACCTTTGAACTTGTTTGGTTATATCATTATTTTCGCAAATTTTGTTTTCTCATTGTCATTGATTTGGTATTTGAGAGTTTTTGCTCCTACAAAATTGAAGATCGACATTCAATAAACGGGACGAGCAAAAACTTGGACCTGACATGAAATCCTTCAATCTTGGTTCTGTGTTCATACCTTGGATTTGTTTGGATATTTCGGGTTCAATTTCCTGGGTTATTGGTCGATTTGGTTTGAATTAATTCAAATTTGTTTTGGTAACCGATTCTTTGGAACAAGGAATACGCTGGAAACACGGAGCGAAAGGTCAAAGGAAAATTAAAAAATGGATGGTAAAATTTCTAAAGCTGTTTGTGGTATGTCTGATGTTAATGATGATAAATGTGATGATGTTAGTATTAATAGTATGTCCTCTGGTCAACTATGTACTTCTAGATTAAGGTTAAGTAAGGCATTACTAAGAAAAAGGAATTCAGAAAACAGACTTGAATTAGAATGGCAACTTAGGATGTTAGATTTCCAAGAAGAGGTTGATATGGCAGATTTAGAATTTAAGATCATGGAGGGCGATAACCAACAGCCCGTAGACAAGTGTAGGATAAATGCTAAGGTGAAAAGGTATTTGGATTGAGAAACTGGGTGTAATAATCATTCAAGGGAGGTATTTAGCATGTCAAAGAGCGATCGGGTTGATTAGTTGAAGGGTACATTACATACTATGGTTAATTATATGGTTTTACCCAAGATTGATATGATGTATTTTGATGGGCAATCGAGTCAGTATTACCGTTTCATTGGTCAGTTTAGTAGCCTTATAGAGAGCAAATTGTCAGATAAGGGCCAATTGTTGTCGTATTTGTTATACTATTGTAAGGGAAAGACCAGGATGACTATTGAAGCTTGCATTTCATTGCCCATTCATTTGCGTTACGATAGAGCTAAACAAATTTTGTATGGCATGTTTGGTAAGGAACACCTTGTTGCTCGCGATCTGATTACTGAGTTACTTAACTGCAAATCTTTTGAAGGATCAGCCGATGGCTTGACTGACTTTGCAATTAAACTACGTAATGTATACATAACATTGAAAGAAATGGGATATATGTCTGATATGAAGTTGCCGATAAGATCATGATGACCGGGAGGGAGCCGATCTTTGAAGAATTTGTGATCTTTGTAGAAGAAAGACCCAGGATCGATCGAACACGTTTTGGTAGATTGTTACATTGCAACTCAAAGTTCAGTAAAAGTAACTGTGAAGGCAAAGCTCATAAAAGATCACGTTTTAATGTTGTTAGGCTGGAACCAAGCAACTCATTCATGGCTCTCACTTGGGAAATTTGCTTTGGTGATCACAAAGAGACAGATTGTACAAAGTTATTGAAAATGAATGTTACAGAAAGAAGACAGGAAAAGAGAAGACGTGGTCTATGTTACCTGTGTTTAAGGAAGGGTCAGATAGCCAAGTCATGCTACTCGGATATCAAGTGTGACGTTGGTAATTGCAAGGTTCTGCATAATTTATCGCTACATATTGATGGTATTAGTAAACCTGTAGTGAACTTAGTTAAGGATTGAAGCTTGTCGAAGGTTTGTTTGGGTATCATTTTGGTCACGCTGTATAGTACGCTATACAGAAGAATGTAATCTGGCCTTATCAAATAAATTTTGGATTGTCAGTCTAGCGTTCAAACCGAAAACTAGAAGTTTGGTCATTACAGTGCCTAGATTGTAGTTCATGGTTTACATGGCCCGTCATGTATTTGCGCCAGCACGTCGTTACGTGTAGAAAGCAAACATGAAGGTGATGAACTTTGCATCCGAAATTGAAAAGTGAACAATCGACCTATGCGTATCATTAGGAGGAGCATCACTAATTTCCTGAAGTTATGCAGCCAAGTGACCCAGTAGTATATATCCTGGACCGTTGGAAAACAAGAAATAGTGCGACTATCTCTCCATATACCTGGATATTGTACATTCGTCACAAAAAAGTAGAAATGTTGGAACATCGCCACCGTTCAACGGTATCTCGTGAGCCGTGGAACTTAGACATTATCCTGACGAAAACCCAGAACCTCGTTAAACCTACCTAATATAAAGAATGTGAATATTTAGGGTGATAGTATAGCTCACCATTTATACACTCAACATGGCTATCAGAATGATGGACCTGATCACAAAATTGTGGATTTGTTATGATGTGACTACCTAATCTACAAGTTCATGCGTGGAAGTCACATCATTTTTCATACTGACTCGTCCTTTAATGACGATTAGCAACACGATGTTTCTCACTTCCAAAAAACACGTTTTGGATGGGAACAGAATAATAATTCAGATGTGAAAATGAATAGGCTACAAAGTGGTCGCACTTGCATGGCTGATTCATATCATTTCCATCCTACGTTCCTGCATTCATCAATTTTATGACGTTATCCAAGCATAACATGTAGTGTGTAAATCTTCCCAGTAATAATAATTTAATCTTCAGGTATCGTGTGGCTATGTATGTGTACCACATTCAATCTTTTTGTTAATACATAGAATATATATCAAGAATTTTATTGACTTACTCTGTAGCATTATTCTATTCTCCATATACTTAAAAAAACGTGCAACCGTCGCTCGATGCCTAGTCAAATATAAAGTGAACAGTTGGCGACCTTTTTCAAAACAGAGAAATCCAGTTATCCTAATACTGCAAATTCCTTACCTGAAATGATGTAACTTTTTGACATGTGTTTTATTATGTTGAAGTCACACCATCTGGCGGTTTCATAGCCCGACCTATTAAAAAGTAGTGATCGGACTACCCTCTATTCCAATTAATAAAAAAAATTGGACGGAACTAGGAGGGTAACAAAGACTTATATAAATCATCTGCTACTACACTGTCATCCTTTAGCTGCGACAATTTGTATACCAACGAACGGGGCGACCATCGTACCAACTATTAAGTTCCCTGTTACTTTCATCTCAACAGTGTTCTGTTTTCACTTAAGTATCACCCGCAGTCAAATCCTTTCAAGGGAATATTCAAATGTATCAGAAATATTCCCTGATATTTTCAAACAAACAGCTTTCTGATGACTTTAAAATGGTCTGAAAAATTAAATATGACACCGAGTATTCCACTCTACACTTAACACTGATTATGTACGTGAAATCCATAGGCTGGGTGTTTATAGTGAACCTGAGTAATCGAATTCTTAGGTTATTTTCTCTTTGAAGTATTTTGAAAGCCTTCGCAATGTAAAATTTTAAAGGGATCAGAATGGAATCTCACAATAGATCGTCACACAATCTCCCCATTTCGAGGAAACTTTTACCCATTTTGGGGAAGCTGCTGCAGGAACGTTTGAGAAATTTTGAGGAAATGGTACATAAATCACAAAATTTCTTAAAATATGGAGATTGTTCAGTACATAATTTTGGTTCCAATTGTTCCTGTTTATTCAGGTTACAAAATGAAAGAATAAACAATCTGTTTTTGTTTAACACAAATGCTCACAAAATCTTGTCGCCCTACTTTTATTGATTTAGAACCTTATATTATATCATAACAATTCTGGTGTTTTATTATTTCAAAATTGTATGGTTTTGCTTTAACCGCGTTTTTTATTTCAGGTTTTTGATTCCGCGTCCGCTGGACGTTTGTTGATGTCGTTCATTTTCGTGTATTATTTCGGAATTATTCGTGCTTGAGGTAGAGTAAGAACTCTTATTATAATTTTGCCGATTCGCGTGCTGAGTATTTTACTACTTTTCTCTTATATATATATATATATATATATATATATATATATATATATATATATATATATATATATATATACGTATGTCGCCTTACAGTTTAACGTCGTTCGACAAAACCTCAGGCTTTAACTTTCTGGAATATTTCTGTTACAGGGCATTTTACTTTCAGTGTAGTCGTTTTATCCCGTGTTATTCATATAAAATATTGTATATCATCTGTTTATTCCGATCCACAATTTTCCATTGTAGGCCGTGTGAATTCTAAATTTTATGTAACTTGCAAGCCATTCAACCTGATCAATTGTCTCATTCTCTCCTGTGTTTATCAAGATTATTTTTTTATAACCACATTTATTTCCAACAAGATACCCTATTGTTCGTGTGAATACTTGTGCTTTCACTCACAATATTTTCCCTATATATACATGATCATAACTTATGTGCATTTTTTGACGTATTGTTTAATCTCCGTGGTAGTTTAAGCACGTGTTACTTAATAGTGGTAAAAATTACTTAAAACTAGTAAATTACGAATTTATTTGGAAGTTGGTACACCAAGACCCTACTGTTTGAAGCCTTGTTGGTTATGAAGTCTTTGAATTATCTCTGTGTAACCCAATTGTATGATAATTAGAAGTATTCAAATCACTGTGCTGACTAAGAATTTCTGAATTAGCGTTATTTAAGGCAGATAGAACTAAATGAGCACACGTGGACGAATTGTATCTGAAATCCGTAATTAACGGGGAGTCAAGTGCAGAGGAGTCATTGGTTCGTACAAATACAGCAGATTGTTATCCGCTGTATCAATTTACCTGTTTTGAATATGAACTAATAATGATCACTCCATTATCTGGTGAACTTTGAAATCTATTTTCTACATTTTTTCCATCAATAAAATACGGGATAATTGCTAAAATGTTTGTTCGATAATGCATCCGAGTTATTTTTCGGAACTGGTATACGGAATATTTTTCATTATTCGCAGAGGTACTGGCAATTCATAGTAAGGTTATACTTGCTGTCACCACCTATCTGGTATTAATTTAAAGGTTTTAGACAAAGTGCTTCAATAGAATACAAATAATTTGGACATATTCAAGTTGGAAGAATTAAAAGTTGGCGTTTGCTGCCATAGTTGGTATTTGTAATATACGTGACATGGAGTATTCATAAGGGCGTTTAAAAACCTCCAATGATTCCTTCGCTTACGTGGACGGTTTTTGAAATTTAAGTATCAATATAGATGCATAAAATACATGAACTGCTTGTACTTGAAACCATGCAGTTGGGGATACCAAGTTCTAGACAATAACCAGCTTGATGTATTGAAATCCCCATCGTTTTACTTGTATAGTATGTTTGGTTCTTAAACCCAGTTTGTGCTTGTAGTAATGAAGCTTGTAATATACTTTTTAAAAAAACCCACTAAACTTGTCACACCCCATCCTACAAAAGATCCAGATTAACTATGTGTTCAAAGTAGCGAATGAGATAACAGCGACATTCGTGTATAGAAATAGTGACAATTTAAAAATTTTAATTATACAGTTAGGTACGAAAAGTACACTGAATTACATAGTGCTAATATAGAGCATAGCTATTACTTTTGTACATTTTTAAAGGAACTTGGATAAACGACTAAAGTGTCACAACTTGACTTGTGCTTTTCATTTTGGTTTCTGTGTGAACTTTTATGTTCAAAACTTAATGAATGAGGGCTTTTAGTGTTTGCACGATCTTAATGGTTGCAAACATTCATCTGCAATATTTGTAAGCAATCCCTACCTTCTGTTTTCTATAATGACTTTATCTGACACATACTTTAATATATGGACGGTACCACACATAATGAACTGATTTTTGACTTTATGCATCGGTGTTGCGAACTCCTGGTTCTTGGACTTTATTGACATTGACTTTTAACGTCTTCCTCACAAATTTGACCAGGACCTGTTATAGCGTCAGGTCTCTTTCCGTGCATAATGTATATTTGGTTTATGAAAATTTCTGGAGAAGTCATTAAGATTCTTTGAATGTATATATTCTGTGACATCAATCAGATGAGTGAGTCCATGGAAATACACATTTTCCTTTATGTATATTACTGAAATATTGTCAGTAAAATTAGGTCGATGTTCAGTAAAACCTTTAAACTATTTATTTATTATTGTTTATTTAAACACATAAACATTGGCACAGGGAGGCACCAAATAGATATGCGCCACATAAATCATCCGATTTGTGTGAGAGCCGTGATACTGCCCGGGTGCCCAAACGAAAGCAGGTGGTTTTCTTAGGGGGCCACACCCCGAGCCTTTGACCTTAAGGTTTGATCCACAAAGGAGTGGAGCATCGTGAGGATATGCAGTCCCATAGAAGCCGGTGACCAACAATTGGTGCATACGCCATTTGTTCCCACAGGATACTGGAGCCCATGTGCACCATTGGTTTGGAATCCGGTTAGAGCGCCGGACATTCGCTTTTCGTCCTCTCAATTTCGTAAACAACACCCCTGCCACGAGAAGGCAGTGAGTAGGACTTCTCTGGCAAAGGCTGTATACGCGTGGCCGTTTGAGAACATTTCGCGAGGGAGGGCGAAAATATAGACAGGTTACTTAATTCACAAGGAGTACTGTAAAATATTTATAACTTCATTACATTTCCACTATTTGATATTGGTTTACATTTCTGTGTAAAAACCATGAAGGTTGAAGGGTTTGGTTTCCAGGAGGGTTTAGTCTGCCGTGTTTAATATTATCGGTTTCATCCTGTGTTTCCATTAATTTGTCAAAACATTCTACAGATGATACAACTTAAGTAAATCATCCCTGTGGTTCTACGAATAACACTTTATCATATTAACGGATAACCTTTGAAATGGAAGGCGACTAACATAGTGCTGGACACCATATAATTTAAGCACATTATACAAGGATGGTTTTCTCCCCAGAACTAGACCTTTCATTTGATCCAGTCTTTTGAATACTCTTACAGTACATTTTCATTATGCATAATCAGATGAAAACTGCCTGACGTTACTGACTGCTTAAGTCAATGGTCATTTGGAAAACGTCTAATTGTTTACTTGTGGACGCTTTTTGTTTACATAAATCTTCCGTTGTTGAAAATAAGGATAGATTCTCAGGTTACTGTGCGGTTGTACAGTGAATAGTTCCGTACCGTCAATTATGTACTTATTATTATTTTGGCGATATACTCAGTGGCATCACCGGGCATTTTCGAATATCATTATGTGATTTTGTTAGATTTTTCCCATGTCAAGTTTATTTGGTAATTGTAGGAAATCACCTTTACGAAAGACCACCGACCATAATTTGTAAATTCACGCAGATGGTTTGTATGTTGAGTGAAAGTGGCTTTTGATAGCAGCTAGTGATTATTTGAGACTTTCTCCATCCATCACAAAAATACTACACCCTTTCTTTTTCCTCTGATCTATATTTGATATAATTCACCTTTATGATTATATGAAGTTACAATGAAGTTGTTTGACACTCCCTTCTGAGCCTTCTTGGGCTAAGGCACATATGTTTTTAGTTTTCTCACTATTCTTCAGTTACCCAAACCAACTCCACTTCCTTATTTTTATCTATTATAAAACCTATTATGCAGTTTGCATGTGCATTGTGGTCCTGTAATCTATTAGGTCAGCTAATATGGAAACTGGGAAATGATGTTTATCAACTTCATAAATGTTCATAAAAAATCCTCAAGGACAGATATTTCCCTAACCAACGTATAAAATGCATTACTATCAAGTCCATATGATAGCTTTTATACTTCTCGGAAATCCGTTAGCGCTAAAATACTTTTTGATTGCTAACTTCTGGTCAACATTATTCGACAAATAATACACCTTTTCCATTTTTTTTTCACAAACCACTTCTTAGCTTTTCGTTTATTACCTATCTATTTATTTATAAACTCTGAAGAAATGGCTTACATTACGTGACGAAACGTCAGAAATACAACCTTTCTACTCATTGGGAGGTAACAAGAGTATGCTTATTATCTACTTCCTGGCTTTATTTTGTATCCCGTAAAGTGTAACATATGTTAATTTGTGTAGTCGAGAAAAATCAGTTGGTCTCAATAGCTTTGTTTTTGGGACTAAAATGCACCTTGAGGTATACTGAATTTTTTTCTCTTGGATAATATGAAGTCACTGGATGAGAAACACCAAGGTCAGGTCTAGTGTACCAGACAAAGATCGTTTTATGACGTTGTAGATCTTCGGCTCAAATGACTGGAACATGTGTTATATATCGTCAGCCACTTCTTACCGTGACACACAAAGTCATATAACTTAAGAGTGGGCTAAAAACAAGCTAGGTGCAACCAAACCGAGATATAGCATCAGTTAATAACGTCATTGGATGCTAATTTGAGCTCTGTTGTTAAGTGTAGACTACCTGGTCGTGGTCCGCGCGAGTATTGTGACCAGTGGTGGGAGATATCAAGTTACATGGCCTCGAATCAACTCAAGTGATGCATCCACTTTGTTTATTAGATCCTGAGTCCAAAAAACGTATACTCTTTGTTTCCCGATTTCATCCTTCTCGAGTCAAATCTTTATTACCGTTACTCATATTTCTCCTCCTTTGGTATTTATCTTGTTAATTTCTCACTGCTGATTTAGCATGGCAAGTTGGGCCAATACACATTCGTGCCAGGTTCTGACTATGCTTATGACTTACTAGCTAACTTAGATAATCTATTCAGAAAATCCTCTTGTATGTAGGTAAATAAGTTAGTGATATTTGTCAACAAATCATAAAGAAGTAACCAAACTGCATTCATCTTAATTTCTACTAGTCTCATGCCACAGACTAAAAGATCGCGACCAAATTGTTTTGGCTAAAAAATAGTTTACGTAGTTCAAACGAAGGTAAATATACTTAGTTTTGTGAAGAAGTTTGAAATATTAACATGAAATAGACAAATAAACTGTACACCACTATATATATTGTGTGGCGCATATATATTTGGCGCACACCTGTACCAATATATGTGTTCAAATAAATAAATAAATAATAATAATACACCACTAAGAGTTACGACGTCGGTAATTTGTCAAATCTACCACCAAATTATGTGTTTAAAATTATTGTCAGTAGCCTTAGTGATGAATAATTTGTACTTGGTGATTGACTTTATACTTAGGTTCTCTAACATTATCTGTAGCGGTGAAATAAGCATTCAATACTAGCGTATGCGTTTATCCAATTAAATTAGCTGTAATATATCCTTTTGGTGACATATGTGATGTGTAAACGAATTCCCAGAAAGAATACAGAGACACGGGAAGCCATTACAAACCCACCTAAAACTATGTTCACTACTTATACTCTAGAGAATTCACATATATATTTTCTAACAGGATATTTACTATGATGTGTGACAATGATGTGTAACAATAAGCAGCATGCAATCCGTCTGTTAGAACTCTTCAATAATACACATCCTAACATACAATTTACTGTGAAACGCGAACAGAATGACATGTTACACTTTTTTGATATTGACATAAAACGTAGGGGAGACAGGACAGTTCAACATTCGGTTTACCAAAAAAGTACTTGGAATGGCCTTTACCTGAATTCCAATAAATTTTGTCCAATCAGTTACAAGAAAGCATTGGTTAAAACACTTATAGGGTAGAAAGGATATGTACCACCGACAGACTGGAAGAAGAATTGATAAACGTTGAAAAATACCTAAGAGACAACTGCTGCCCATGGAAATTTATTGACAAATATAAAAAACCTAATGAAGACAAGACGGAAGTGATTACGGCCAATAAAAAACCAATACCTATAAATTTCAACTTCAAAAATGATGACGTCGCAAACACAATCAGCAGGAGGCTGAACACTGCATTAGCCAGAACTTACCCGGTAGTCAAACTATTAATTATGTATAAAACATGTTCAATAACTCAATCAAAGGTTTACAAGCACCCCTTTTATGTTGCCGCCAGCTGTATTTATACATTTACGTGTACCTGCAAAAGCAACTACACTGGCCGAACAGAATGCAGGGCATATCTTGGATTTTTCGAGCATGTTCCAAAAAGCCTCAGAACAAGAGAAAGAAAGACTTTAAACAGTGCAATCACCAAACCTCTGGATACGGGACATCAAGTCGATACCTTGCCATCTTTCAGGGTGATCAGTAAGCAGCCGAACTCCAGTCTTCTTATGTTTGCTCAAACCGTTGATATCAGGCGTCAAAAATCTGACTTATGTGTTCGAAAGGAGACGGTTATTAATCTTTCCTTGCCTTTGCGACAAATATTCCTTCGTTGCATCTTAAACTTTTTCCTTTAACTCTTTCTTGCATTTATTACATCATTGAGTTTTTATTTCAACTATCTTCCGAATTAGTAACCTTATTTTATTAACTGAGCTTTACTCATTTTATTTATATCAGCGTTTACTCATTATGTAACCACTTGTTCCTGGCCGTTTGAACTGTTGTCACAACCAATGTTGTAGAATTTTTTTTTACATAGGGTATATATTTGTAATATTTAGTCTAGTAAATGTATTTACACCATTGCTATGCTAATATGTCTTCAACATAACTTCTAACTAAACACTTTCATGTAAGTAATTTGAACCCATTTTGTAATTATGATTTTAAATATCACAGGTTGTAAGCAGCTGATGAGAACCGACGAAATACAATGAATTCATGCTATTCTTCTAGAATCTTTGTTCTTGTTCTTTTCAACATGCGAATGCATTATAAATAAATAACACACCTCCGAAAATCCCAAATTTTACTAAAATTTGTTATTCACGTAATAATAACACAATTCTGGTGCCAAGCCTACCTTTGATACATGAGCACAGAGTCTGTGTGATAGGAATCCATTGAAAAATCAAATAATTTTCTCGTCAATATGTTTTCTGTAATGTGGATGTAAAAAGTTCACTTAGAGTACAGGGAGTTCTCTTATGAACAAGTTAACGACAGGTTTATGATTTTCTCAAGATTTAATGTTATGTAACCTGTGCCTAAGTTGTGCGTAAACTTTAAAAAAATATATCAATCATATATTCCACGACTACTAAAATTGCTATTTTAATCTATTTAATGTATAGCATTTTGTAATTGTTTATACGTATTACCTAATTTGCCTTTTTACGTCTTATTAGGTTCATTTGCATGAGATTTCATGTTTACTCAGAAAAGTAATGATACGTTTAGGCCAGTTTGCGAAATCGAATACATATTTCCTCATAATTTAATGTTCTAACGCTTTCCAAACAAGGAGGATGGTGTAATGCTACAATTATTTTAAAATCATCATCTGATCATATGCTGTATGGTATTTCAAGGAAATTGGTCTTAGTGTTTTTTGTTTTTACGGAAGTTGTTGTACATGTCTTAAATCTAACAGTTAGTCATAATGCATCGATCCCCGCTACAACTGAATCAAAGAATTTGCGTGTGCTCTACCGTTTTTACAAGCCTGATAATCTTGATTTTGTGTATGTCGCAAGTGTGAATTCAATTAGACAATTTAGTGTCGATAAACTACAGCTTGTTGCAGAACGTATTACTGGTCCACATAACTTCTCCATCTATTGTCTATCGAATGGTGATAGCTGTGAAAAGTGTATGCATGTAGATCGGTCATCGTTTCCCTTTGGTTATGGTGCTGATTTCTGTCTCCCCCATCCAACTAACAACTATGTCAAAGCATGGGGTACTTCAGGTTTTCCAGGCCCTGAAATACATAGTTTCAACTACTCTGAGTGGGACCATGAATCTCATTTCGTAAATGATGAGAGAATAACCTTCGAAGATAGCTTATATGTATGCAATACTGTCTTTCATGGATACTGTGAAAGGCTAGGTTTGATAAATGTCAGTCAAGAATCCCCATGGTCAATCGGTACAAGAAATCCACTGGTAGACAAGAAAAGTAAAAACCCACAAGAAATACCAGTTGTTGGATCTCTTCCCTATACGCATTCTGTTCTAGTTGTTGGTTCAGAATATATTTATGTGGGCACAGAGCCTGATGGACTCCAAGAACACACGCTCATTACATTTGATCCAATAACTGTGAGACTAAAAAACTTTCACTTATGTAGTACTCAACCTAGCTTTGAAAGCAGAGCGCAGTTGTCAACAAATCCGAGCTTACGGATACAATACAAATCTTCTTTCCGATACAGATCAATGCCAACTAATTTGGAGTTCCAAGATCAACTGTTTAGACCTGCTTATGTATATTTCGTTCTTCAGCAGCCTGAAAGTTCACTTTTTTTCCGGTGGCAATCACGAATAGCTCGAGTGTGTGACGGAGATAAGTTTATTTCCTCTTACGTTGAACTGAATATAGCATGTTTTGAGTGTATATTTGAAGATGATGAAAAAGTGAGTATTCATCGATTTTTCATATAAACGAAGTCATTTTTTGAAATGTATAACTCATCAGATCTTTATAAGAGTAATGTAAAATTCGGATAATGTCATACGAAGACGAAGATTATCAGAATTATGTGATATGTTAGCGCAATACACGACGAACAGTCTGATCATACATATAATCTAAAGTTGTTATGCACTGACCTTAATAACTCGCGAAAATGATCGCTTAGAACGTACAATTGGTCATATATCCGGCAAGATATAAATGATATATTTGATGGTCTAGGTTGTGACGTAGCACTTTCTGGAAAATAGAGTTAAGCACAGAAGAATTATTAACAGACAGAAATGCTCAAGGTAGAGGTCAATACTGTTGATGGTTACAAGCCTTGCAAAGTTCTCGATGTATAAAAGTAATCTAATCAGACTATCCGAATAAGCTCTTTTTATACTACTATTAACTAATGCTAAAATTTGGTTACTAAACTCATATAGGCCCCTACAGTGAATAGTTTTGAACAGTAGGTTGCATGATTCTATCATCTGTTTTACGTTTTCATCCTGTATCTCCCAACAAAGTCTGTTAATTAGCTAGAACATAAGTAGATATATTTCATTCTTTGAATTTCAAATCTATCTGCTTTGTATGATTTAACGATTGATAACTGATAGAAGTTGATCACTTTCAAATTTTTGACTGAACTGTCAATTTTGGGAATATAGGTATACTTAAAAAATTGGTAACCTGTTGATAGTCTCATTTTGAATGGTCAGTGCACTCTTATTGACCTACTGCAGTATTGGTTTTCCCCAAATAAATATGTTGATTGAGCGGTATCGTTTTTGGTCATATTTCGTAGCCAAACAGGGAAGCATTTGTTATCCCTACGATTCAGAACAGAATGTAATGACTACGTCGTTTGTATTTGCTTTATTTGATTGTCTTAGCAGTTCCCAGTCGTCTCTTACTTCTACCAGAATAGTATACCTAAACTCTTTGTAACTAATTGGATAACGCGTTAACATTCGAAACGAAAGGTACTGGATCTGAATTTCAGAGTAGTCATCAACTTTGAGATGAAGGTACACCCAGCTGACGGCTCCCAAATAGGACGAAATGCGAATCCTGGATACCTGATAATATTTTAAACCAATGAGTTGGATGATAATAGTTACTCAGTCCAGGAATAAATATCCTAAATTCCATGGTATCGCATTATAAACAGTCTACCTTTCCAAGTTTTCCATCTAGTCTCTGTGGTGATAAGCAACACTTGGTATATAAGCCCCTGTAATATCCATAAAATGTCTTAATTACCACAGCAAAGGTTGGAATATGACACTAACTGAGTGATGGTCTCCATTATTCCAAACTCACGTAAGAGCGCAACATTAAATTAATGGTGTTACCACACGAAAATGCTGTGCACATGATGATAATTTCGCATATTACTTTCAAATACTGTTATTTTTGAATAGCTAGGTTTCATAAACATGGTACGAAACTATGTGAAAGAAAGCAATGTACATGAGGTCTCTCACGGTTGTCAGGCTAGCGTCGTAACAGTGTCACAGTGATTCAGGTCGACATATACTTTACTGGCTTTCAATATTAAAAGATTAACGTTGTTTACCATACAGCTATTGAAAGAAAGTACAACATCACTAAGTATACTAAGTGAATAATTTCTTGTATCACATTGTTGTTTACAATTAAAATAGCTTTACAACTTCCAGTTCCTTAACTGTTGGTCAGTAATCAGTTCATCTCATACTCACTTAGAGGAGAAGTCATTACTACTTATAGTTTAACATTTTCAAATATTTTCATCTTTATTCTTTTGAAATTATTATAACTTTTTGTGTAAAATCACACTTTCATTTGATTCGCTTATTTTGAACCTACGTGAACTAGTCACGTGAAACCATTTAGAGTTGTTGTTTGCTTTGAACGAATTGATTTGCTTATAAATCATAACTGTGCCAGATCGATTTTGTCAAAATTGATTGCTTATTCTAAGATAGACATTTCTTCATCTAGCGTTTATATTCGTCAATTAACCAAAATGTACCCATGTCAACACAATCTCATGGTTTTGTAATAATATTTAACAAGTGAGCTTAATTAAAATGATCATTTTTTGTCCACTGACCCTGACTTTGACTTGACGTTGAAGTGGTTTTATTTCGACTCACTATAATGTCTGCATAAATTATGGGTTGAACATTCTTTAAATAAAACTGATCGTTCGCTCTCCTATTCTACTAATTTTCACTCAAATGGAAGATTCATGAAGTAATTCTTGGTCACAGTCATCTGTTATTTCTTTGTTTTGGTACTGAATACCGTCTGTTGAAAAATTTCGTATCTGTATCATATCTGTATCTGAAGTTGATAGTTCGTCCATTTTCTATATTAATCATTGATTATTTCAAGATTTGACAAGTTGTTTGTAAAGTTCAGTTTAAAATGCAAAGATGATGTATTATTACAGAACATTAATTCTCACTGATCCAATCGAAACTATCAAGATTTGTCGTATCTGTATTTCTCCTACAGAGTCCGTCAGGAAACCCTGTTGTATTCTCACAGTTGTTTAATTACTATTTCAAAGGTATCACACTGCATTGGAAATGTATTTTAATAATAAAAGAGAAGTTTCACTTAATAAAACTTATACCATTTGCCAGTAAATGCATCTTAATTCAACTTACATTTTCTGATGAATTTTATCAGTTATCTTGGAAAATGGTAATGTAAGTCTTTATTCCAAATATTGAAACAACCGACTGACTATAATAAACTTGCTGTAAGCAGAAATTAAACTTGACCCTAAATATATGGTCAAACAACGGTTTTTCATTGTTATAAACTTTAAAACCCGAAATTAAGTGCATAGTTCAGAAGTTTCGAGAAAATTATAAAGTTGTTACTTACTTGAGTAACAAAAATCTATTTATTTCCTTGACATTTCACTACGGTGGTCTTTATAGGAAAAACTGACTTATCTTATAATTAATGTATAATTTCATATAACAAGCTTGACCAAGTTAGAAAATCAGGATTTTGTCTTTTTTTCATGAAAACTGACAAATTTCTAATTGTAGTCATATTACTCAACATCATCTCTTCGGACAGTACTTCAAAACTTGTTGAATAAATTCTATAATTAAAATATTTCGTGTGTTAAGTGACATTAGGTGACTAATTATGTCTTAATATAACTTTAAGGTTAATTGGTAGGCAAACAACATGTAAGCATAGGCCTCTCCAAGTAGATTTATTTATTTTAAAAATTAAGCATTTAGTCAAGGATAATGTTTACAACAGTTATCCATAACACATACAGTGAAGTACTGAAATGTTAGAGATATTTTCACCTATGTGGATGCCTTTAATTATGTTATGTTCTCTAATTTGATAACTTTTTCAAGGACAAAAATACAAGAAAGGTTTTTAGAACAGCTCTTGTTTTTTGATTAAAGACAAATCTGTGGATAATACTGTTGGTTATATAATGTTTTCCAAATTTTGAGACACAAATTATAATACTGTAGCTTTATTAAAAAAATAAGTGTAATCAACCAATAAGAGACAAGAATAAAAACAAACAACCCTTATGGTTGCTGAATGAAACGAGTAATTTTTAAACGTATAATAATTAATTTTTATAACTCAATTTAATCTATTTGTTTTTATGTTATAGATGTTTAACGCATTACATTTCTCTTCACGTGGCACTGTTGGGAAGCAGTTAGCTAGAGAATTATTAGAAAACTTTCAGTCCCAGTATGATGATAATTTGTATTCTAAAATTGATATAACTACTAATGATCATTCAGAAGTTCTTATTGTAGCGTTTGCTTCACAACCTATCGACCCTTTATATTATTGGTCTACACGAAATGTTAGTCCAGATATTGATTTGCCGAATGTTCAATACAATCCTGATTCATCATATCGACATGGATCAATTTTGTTGCCTGGTTCTGCTATCTCCTTATTTTCTATGACACAGGTACAATTTAAACCATTCTGATTTTTATGTACATCGTTTTCATAAAAACAAAGTAACTTACGCTTCGCTTTTACTTAAATATTCGTAATCTTTCGAATTAATGTTCTGATATAGAAATATTTCTTGTTTTTTTTTTCGAATTTTTATGAAAACTTATACCTAGAATAACTTTTTTTTCTGATAATTCGTAGGCGTTCATACTAATACACAACAAATAATTATTTGTAATAGGAGTCCGGTATAGTGTGTCTTTCAACATCCCGATAACCAAGTTCAAATTATCGTACTAGTGCTTTTAATGCACCATTGTTCTATGAGGATAAGCAAAAAAGAGAAGCATGATTCAAGTCTATGAGCTGACATTTGAAAGGTGGATACTGAAATATATAATCTACAGTTCCATTCTATTTATGTCTATTTCTTGTATCTACTTAATATTGCATACAATTATTAGATCTTGTTTTAAAAACTGAATAATACATTCACAGTGATTGATTTATTGTTAAAATTTTCCAGAGAACAATTTATATGAAAATGTTCATATGTATTTCGTTTTACTGAAGTTCATTACACTGATCAAACACGGAAACGGAGACTAGTAATCAATATTGCCGCTATTAGTAATTGTCCACCATTTCAAGTCGAAAGAAATCTTATAAAAGATTATTGGATTTAGAGACTTTTAGAAGAAATTGCGAACCTATTTTAAACCATATAGTTTAGGATTTTAAACCTATCAAATATTTAAACTTTGATCAACGGAGTTGTTTTCAATATGATCATATTCCATAAAATTTCTAGATTCTGAAAAAATACAACTCCGATTGGTGTTGAAAAATATCCTTCAATATTTGTTATGACAAAATACCACAAGTAGTTACTTAGGTCATTTTATCATAGAGTTTGTTCTTCATTTTCTCTTCAAATAACCTCTTCTACTCATCAGTATGATGCTATATGTAGTCCAGTTGAAATTTTGTCCAAATGCGTATAAATTATTGTTTATTTAAGAAGAAATTAAAGATGCTTTTTTGCCTTTATAATATAGATCAATGCCAAATTTGATCGTGTCGTTATGAATTGTTTGGACGGCATTGGAATGCATGGACCGTCACATTTTCTACATTCTGGAAGTAGCGGAAATTCTAGATGTGTTAAAGATGATTATTCTGTAAGTAATAATATTTATTTTCCCCTTAGTTTATGTTTGCGATATAAATTTACTTTTTCATATATATAAATGGGTAATTTGGAAGGATAATAACTATTTTATTTTGGTATCGTTCATTGTTTTAAATTTTTTATGCAGAGGAATTTGATCCATGACTGTCCTAGTAGTCGTCAACTCAATCAATTTATTACAGGGAATGATCCAGACGATGATATCTATTCTCCAGCATTGTTGTACTTCAAATCTAATGTTACCGGTATGGCAATAACCGCTGTATCAGAGGAATTCACAGTTGCAATATTTACAACAGATGATGGCTATCTATACAAGGTATTTACTTGTTCATGTATATTATTCAATACTGGCTGCATTTTGATTAGGTGATCTGTATTTGTTTAGTAGTGGTTAATCGTTAATCTCGACACTGCTTTCATCATTAGATTTATCATTTTCAAAAATTTAATTTCCTTGTGTACAGATTGTTATAATAATAATAATAATAATAATAATAATAATAATAATAATAATAATAATAATAATAATAATAATCAACGCTTAGATCAATACAATATGTATATTGTTGTAGCGAAAAAACTACTGGGAGCCTAAATATCCACTATTTCAAGGTGTGAATTTTCAAGAAAATATTTTTTCAGCAATTCTTGTTTACCATTTATCTTCTTCCAGAAAACGTTTCGATCGGTTCTCCGATTTGGACATTTTCTGTCACAGTATATTAAATACATGGATTCCTATGTAGGCGCCTCTTAATTCGTAACCTATCCGTTTGCCAACCAAATGACAAGTTTGCTGCGCAGCAGTTCTCTCCGTTCTACTTTGTGGTTGTGAAACATGGCCGTCAAGAATAGAAGACATACTGGGATTGGGCTTGAAAATTTGATCTCGGTGTGCTAATGGAATAGTTCAACTTGAACCTATATACATACATACTAAGTTCTGCGTTGTGGCTGACTGAACCAAAAAGTCTTCAGGACTCAGGTTTTTCTCTGTCTCATTTCACACTTTGATAAAATTGTATCTGCAGGTGGAATTCTGAAATTCAGTTCATCCAGAATAATAATAATATATATATATTCATAAACGATTCTTTCAGTATGGGATTTTTTCTGTTTAATTAATTTGTGTGAATATTAGCTAACAACATAAATATTTCACTTTTTATCAACCAATTCACTTGAAGGCTTATTTTATATTTTATAGTCATGCAGTAGTTTCAAAATGTAAAACAGATATTGCTGTGACCACATTTCCAAAATTATTGTTTGTTCAGTAGTTCAAATTAATACAAAATCGTCACATTGCGTCAATCGACGATTATTTTCTCCTACTGTCATGCTTTTCGCTCTGGAAGACTTGTTGTTTCCACCGATGGTACTTGTCATGAACCGACCTCAACTAAAGTACCATTCAAGACCAGATACTGAACAGTCGCTTTTTCCTTTTATAGGAGTCCTCGAAAGAGTCGATTTACGACCCGAGGGGATTAAACCCGGAACCATCAGTGCTCTCAGTGAATGTTTATCTACTAGATCATTAAGCTAGCATACGATGATACATATTCTCAACTCCCATTAATTTGTGGTATCACGTGATAATTATTCAACTCAGTTGGTGTTAACTTTTCCATTCCCTGCACATATTTTTGGTTGCAAGTTCATTGCATAGGAACATCAATGACTTATTTTACTGCTATTATTTAAATAATGCTGATTTAACTTATTTAAGTCTTAGTATCTCCCTTATGTCGAAATTTCTTTTCTGATTTCCTTTTGATTCATAGTATGAGCTTCTTGGTCTTCGCAAAGTACATCTTTTAGGATCTTTACAACTGGTTACAAATGGTCAACCAATAACAAGCCTAGCATTGGACCACACTGGGACAATAGCTTTTGCGACATCATTTCAAAAGGTTATTTCATCCGATCAAATTTCCTTAACTCATTTTATTTTTTTCATGTTAAACTTATGATGTTATCAGTTTTACAGTTTATTATTTTGATTACTAGCTTATTTGCTTGATAAATAACGTATTATTAAAATATGGTATATTGCTATATTTGTTTACTTGTTCCTTAGGTAACTTCATTTTGACTATTGTTAATACTACTGTGATTTACTAACTTTATATATACAGAAACATTAATTAATATTTGTGCCCTGTTAAAGTAAATAAATTATTTGATGCCATATTATTAGATGAAATATTTTAAATATTTCGATTTTGGTCTTTAAAAACCCAAAGGGAACTTCTTTACTATAGGGATTTATGAACATTATCGAATTTCATAATTTATATCGTAGACTGATCTTACTTAGGACACTATTAAGAACCAGCTAGATCGTCTCAGTATGAAACTCCTCAATAGAGCGCATCTACGACCTCGCCGGGGGTTAAAACCAAGACTTTCATGACGCGCTACGGGCTTTGAACCCTTAAATCACTAAGTGATCATTCATTAGTGTACTTGTATCACTTCAATCATTTCGCAACCATCTTTCGATGACGTTGATGTGTAGCTCTTTCACACTATCGTTTTTCTTCAATTTAATGAACAAGGTGGTTAGTATTTCTTGGATTATTCAAGATCACTATCTGATAAGATAAATAAGTTCTCATTTCTGTTCAACATGGTCCATCCTGAATATGGTTTACAAATAGACAAAAATCACAATTAAAATCTGAAGCTGTTATGGTAATAACTAGAATTAAAAATTAAAAAAATATATTAGACTAATGTTTTAAGTAAAAATAAAATACTTAACATATTCGCCTTTTCAAAGAGAACACTGTGATATTTTTTTCAGAAGTAGCTTTTTATTTGTTAATTGAGGCGTTTAATTGCAGATTTTTCAAAGATTATATCCTTCTTGTGATATGATCCATCTTTTTTCAAGTTGACAAAAATTTCACTTTTATTTAGTGTACAATTATAGTGTAATTTATTCGCAAATTTGGTTCCTTAATTTCGATTTTTGAGGAAAATAGGGGTTAAATTCATTTCAACATTAAACAGACTACAACTTCATGTACACCTTATTTAAATGTGATACCTATAATTATTATTTTAAGTTATGCTGTATATTTATTACTAAATAGTGTGTTAAAGTTATGTTTCCTTATCCAGATTTATTTAAGTTGGTTATTTTCAATATCATATTTTTAGGTTTTTCGCATTGAGTTATTCAACTGTTCAGCGTACTTAACATGTCAGTCATGTTTAAAGGCTCGTGATCCTTATTGTGGTTGGTGTATAGCAGAAGGTCGTTGTTTACTGTTTCACCAATGTCCTTTAGTAATGTCTCGTCTAAAAACACTTAATGATCTCAAAAAGAAACGATCTCCAAACAGGTATGCTGGTAGGGAATATTCTGCATCGGATCGAGTTTATTGGTTACACTATAATACCTCTACCAATAAGTAAGTTATTTGTTCATGTAACAATCATTACAACTCTCTTGCTTTCCCTTTCTTTCTTTCTCTCTCTGTATATATAATAAGTTCTTACTCGTATTTAGCTTCGAATTATGCCGTATGATAAAAACTGATCATTTCTTTGAAATTCAACTGGTTAGTTTCCGTTTCAGAAATTTTAGGAAACCTACCTCGGTTTTAGCATTTAAACCTTGTAATTCTTATTCATACAACTGAGTGCTGCTACGAGTATGAAACCAGTTATTACTTCACGGTTCCCCACATCCTGGAAGAATACTTCATGAGTTTATCTAAAATAATCTAGGTTAATGATGATCTTGACTACCTAAGAGTGTGACCTCAGAGCCCAAAGGACAACTACATGAAGTCGGTTACATACAGCCTTTTTGATTAGTTTTAGACGATCTACCTCCCTACTCTATGATCTTATCTCCAGAGACTAAAATCCGTGGAGCAAGGAAAGGTGAACTACCCTTAAGTTTGGTCTTTTCTAGCCTCTTTTTTCCATTGTAAGTAGGCAGCATCGTTGCGGATATTGGTTGTCTGAGGAAAACACCTTAATACTGTCACAGCCCTTTGTAGTCCGCAGTACAATTTCAACCTCAGACCACGAGTTTGCTGCTTTTAGTCATATCGCTTTCCAACTGACCTAGTTGGCGCGATAAGATTTAAATGAACAACTGCTCCAGTTAATATTCTTCAACTGTGTCATCATGATATGGAATCCTGACCACCTTGTCAAGGTAGCAGCTATGGTTGGGATTCATATAACAGTTATAAACTAGCTTTATTATTTTTGTGTATTGCTATCACTAGTTTGAATCACGTCACGTTTAATCCTTATTTCTTTTGTATTGTCTTGTTGAAATATTCGATTATAGAATATCTGTTCACCTGTTAATTGCATATCATTGTATATAATAAAATAAATCATCAATAAGTCCACATTATTAACTGATTATTTGAAACTATTGGATTCCTACATAAAGCAATATAAGCACTAACTAATTTCACCAAAAATGCACAATAAGTATGGAGCAGTTCACTTTGAAGAACCAGTAGACTCATAAGATTATGAAACGCTAATTAATATAAACGTTTTCTCGTACTGGTTAAAGCGCTAGACATTCCGGGTTGGTGGATATGGAGGATCCACCTAAAGGACATATATATAAGGATGAATCGCCAATTCATGCTTCTTGATGTGTAGACTTGTAATTCAAACGTTTTTCGCATGCGAAATTGCAACAGTTGTTTACACTGAAATCTGATTATAGAGATTGTCAATAACTGAGAAAGTTTTGATCTGCAAAATGTTACCATTACAAAGGAGGCCATTATGAGGAAGAATCTATATTGTGAGAAGTTACAATGTACTTTCATAATACATATACATAACATTTAGTCATCCATTTGCACCTTTTAGTGTGTTTCGCAATCTGAACTGTCTTCTCATCTGGTTTCCAGGTGTCCTGCCTACACCGTGCTTTCACTGTACTGAGAATCTCACTGTTACAGCTTTGACCTCATGTTCTGCTACATTATACCTACAAACAATCTTGTAGGTAGTGTCCACCACACTAGCCTAATGACAGATTTTTACTAACTTTCCATACTTCCACATACACACACAGATCTGTTGCTGAATTAACTTATCTTGATTATAATTTCAGAAAATTTCTAAGTAACATAAATAAAAACAAATTGACTCAAACTGAAGACATGTTGTCTAAACATTTTGTAGATGTGCTTTAAACAGTTTATCCCTTAGATAATCCAATGAAAAAGTGATGTTTACTAGAACTATGTGATATATACTAGCCTTAATATGTTTCGTAAAAAGTGATCACACATCAACTTAGATATTCAACTATGAGAAATGAGAGTCAAACTAAAATATAAAGAAAAATATAAATCACACCATTTTGGTTATTAACATCAAATCAGTATTACCAGGGTAGGTTTGATAGTGCAAGTATACATTATTCTGACTAGCCAAAGGGTTGAGTTTTTGTATTACTAAAGCTTCAACGAACCTAAGCATTTGCTCTAGTCAAATTTGATACTAAATAAGGAAGCGTGGGTTAAAATCGGCTTAACGGCCGATTTCGGTTATATGGGTATGAAGAAAGATATGTGTTTGTCGTCTGCTCCTGTTGGAGCATTGAACTTTGTTTTTGTAGCCATTTAAGTACATATTCAACCAGCTTTATTTGCAAGTCATGATTACCTCGTAATATGTATGTACGTCTACATACATGTAAATTGGTAAACACAACGGGATGTAACGCTATCACTTAAATACTATGTGATTATTGTTTTTCCAATAATAATGGCCTTGACCGAATAGTACATGCTACTGTTGACTAGTCTGAGCCTTCGTTAAGACACAATGCTCTTCGACCTCTATTTGACTGACAGAGTAATGCAGATATTCTTTTTAGATGTGAGAAGCAAAGTGGGTCTTTAAATATTACTTCGGCTTTTTCATCTGTTTATAAATTTCAAAAAAATTTCATTTAGCAACTTCGCTTCAGACTTAACTTCAAGGCTAAATCCAGTAGATTTACTAAGTACTATTTCTAACATTTCTATTTTGCTTTCATTCAGAATAATAATTTCTTGAATTGTCCATGATTATTGCGTGATGCAAGGATGTATATAGATTCTGATTTATGTGGCTGTTGCCCGTTTTATATTTATAACAAATGGTAAATCATTAACATTTTCAAAGTCATCAAATTATGACCACTTTTCCCCATATACTGGCGTGGAAAAAAATACGTTTAAGGCAGTTATGCTCTATTATTTCTTGTGAGCGTCTTCCAAATTGCTTGAATGGAGTTATTTTTTATTTATTTATTTCACCACAGATGCCCAGTAATTAGACAAGTTAGTCCGCCTGGTATTCAAATAGGTATAACCCCAACGGTTTCTTATGCAAAGGAGAATAGTCACTATTATCAGCAAAACATAATTCTGAGCTTGGATTCATTTCTTTCACAGAACCTCCCTAATCCTGACTTTCCAGAAGAATCTCTTTCTAGAAATCAACCTCATCAAATAAATCCATTTGAGGATTTCGGGAATTCCCATCATCCATCACTGGATAAAAGTAGTATTGCTACGAGCTCACAGTTGTTTTGCAGTTTTCGAGAAGCACCAACATCGGTTCTTCAAATGGAATCCTTGATCTCTGGAACTATTTCTAATTCTGATTTAAATAAAATTTTGTTAAATGTTACACGTACACCACTTCTCACTAGAACTGTTGCCAAGTTGTTTTACTCGTCTGGAAAACCTATAGAAGCGCACTGCTTGTCTCCAGCCATAGCATCACAATTAACTCAACTTGAGGATGATAAAGGTAGGTGAAAAAGGTTTTAAAGCTATGATTGCTGTAATTTTGGTATCATGATTGGACAATTCCCTAAAAGTTCTGAAATTTCTCTGTTTTATGCAATTTCGGATAACTGAATGGTGAAATATAGTTAATTTGCTAAATATCATTTTGGTTTGGGATAAGTACTCTAGTATATTTACATTTTATGACTCATATTCATTTAACATATTTGAGGCCAAATTTGAACAAGGCAAGAAAAATTGAGCGGATTCGGACATCACTTAGGGTAAACTCATCATCATCAAGTTCAGCAAGAAAACAACGGTGATCACCATCTCAAACTAGTCATATTATCTGACCTAAAAGTGAAATTTTGCCCCGTCTAACCAAACAAGTGCACCATTAAAGTCTGTTTACTTGAACTCAGGGAATCGTGTAGTGAACTACGTAAAATTCTTATCTTGTAAAACATTGGATAGTGTTCATCTGAGATGTCCACTACCATGGATCTAATCGAAAGTTTCTGTAACATCAGATATAAAAGTAACTTTATTCACTGATGAATTCGGAAATTCACCTTCTATTTAGATATATCTTTTTGTTAATGTATATTATTCTTTTCAAACTATAGTTTATAATGTCTGAGGTTAAATGATCTTATCATTCAAAATTCATAAAAACGGTTCTATTCTTTGTCTTCTTTTAAACTTTGGATACCTTTCATATTTCTGTTCCCCATTCATTTACGTTCGTGTTTGTTTATTTTTACGTTTCATTGTTATTATTCATTTCGCTGTGTTATTCCAAGAGTAATAACTTAATGCATTTAAGAATTGTTTAATATTTCACATTATTAATCTTCTTACAAGAATATATTCATAAGTGTACTTTCTTACCAGAAAAATAACCATGTTTAGGATTTAATCTTCTTTTGTCTGTTTATCACTATAGTAGAACTTCAAGGTGTTTGTATGAGTGTTTCAACTATTCCTACCTAATCTGTATACATTGAAGTTTTCAAACATATACATAAGGAATTAGATGGCACTTAATAGGTTTTTTTATCCAAAAGCTCTCATCTTTACTAAAGCAATATTAAGAAAGTTCTCGTTGATATCCTTTGTTGTTAGGGTGAAGTGTATGAATATTATTTCTACATTGTCTGTATTTTTGGAAGAAAATATCCATGTACTACTGATGTTATTCATGTTAATATAGGTGAGCCTGATCACAAATATTCTATTTGAGTAGTTGCCTAATTTGTATCACTTTTTAGATCAGTCATAATAGTTCATATTAATTTAAAGTTAACCTGATTGACCTTTTTTAAAAAAAATATTTTCCACTTACAGCTTCTCTACCTTTGTTGTTATGGTTAGAAAAAGTAAGAACAACTGATGTAGATCCTGATAATGTCGGTGCACTTGCACCTGCTTTATTTGGTATTTATAATTGTTCTCAACTTAAAGATTGTCAGTCTTGTACACGAAGTCGTTTTGTATGCGCTTGGTGTCTATTTGAAGATCAATGTGTTCCCGTTTTTCCAACATTATCATCAGATGGACAAATAACAAATAGTGTGTGTAAAGATTCTTCTCATCTTTACTCTAAATCTTATGAACAAATTAATCCTCCATTTGGTATTATTCCTCCTGGTCATGTAAGTAAATGACCAAAATTTATTCAGAGTTCTTAATGTTTGTTTGCAACGATATTCACATATATGTATCATGTTTAAAATGCCTAATTATCCACTCAAATCACGTATTCGTAAATTCAAAACTAACTTTACAGCACACTTTTTGAGCTACATAACAAGTTACAAATTCTCTAATAAACAAACGCAAATAGTTAAAACTGTGCTAGATGAGTATATATAATAAAATAGCACTATATACCTTGATAATATTTGTTTAAATCTTATTGTTTTCTTTACTTTTCACACCATTTGTAGAAGTTAGTTTGGATTTTCTTGTATGATTTTCTCAAAGTAAATATAACTATATTATTAAATGAATATGTCAAGAATTATTCGGGAAATTACTTCACATTTATGTTTATTGGTTAACAAAGGCTTAATGGGAATCAAAATAATTTTAAATTCTATGAGTTCTAAACCATCTATACGCCTAATATCATTAATTAATGGGTTATTTAGGTTGATTTCATCACATTTTTTCCAGCTCAGACTACTATGTATTGTTATTTCCTACGTGATCCGAAAATCTCAATGTGATAACATAGAAGATTCACAACGGAAGTTCATACTGTCATCAACAATCGTTTGAACCCAGCCCTCAACAATTGAGAAAAAAAAACTAAAACATTTTCCTAACAATAACCAGTGATAAAGGTGTCAGTATTTCTAAAAAAATACCAATATATATTTGAGACTCAAACAATAAAAGTGTCTGTCTTTGGACTACAGATTCAACCTTATGCACGCTATTTAAAAGTTCCAGAATCTTCATAGAACAACTTTTCTTTAATTCTGATCGAATTTCAGGGAAATACTGTACTTCTCAACATTATTTTGTTAGTTAAAATTTAATTGGCACTTGTTTATTCTCTGTCATTCTCGTAACTTTACCACTTCTTGGGTTTGCAATAGGCTGACGACTGTCCAAGTTTCAAGGGATCACCCCAAAGAATCACATTGACTAGTGGTTCATCGCTTACTGTTAACTTCTATGTTTCGAATGTTCAGGTATGTAAATTGTTTCTCACTTGTATGTAGTTAGTTTTAATGATCTGTGTTACTTTATCAAGATTGTAATCGTTTTCTGCATCACATCATAGAACACTTTATACATGCTTTAAATGATAAGAATTCATTGGACTGTCATCAACTGTTTTTATTTTTAGTTGCAATCGCCCAGCTCCACTGCTGTTACTTTTTTTGAGCTGTGAATTATTGTTTCCTTGTTACTAACCTTAAAATTATAAGAACTAAAAAAATTATTCATTCTATTGTATTAAGAACCTGTGATCATAACTTTCAGTGTATTTGGTTACTTTTATCGGTTGCGTTCAATTACTTAGGAGATATTCATTTTTATTAACTATTTTGGTTATTACACCTCCGATCTTGTTAGTAATTGTTTTACTTTCTAAGATAATATAAATCCATTTGGGGATATAAATTAAAGATTTTATTCTGTCGACTGAATAAAAAGTATAGGTCAAACAATGAAAATAGTCAACAAGTTTACAAAGAGAACATTTCTTTATACTAATGATCAATGACTATTAAGATAGACCAATGTTTATGAAATATTGTGCCTCAGATAATTTTATTGTAATGACCGCAAACATTTGTGTCTATATGAGCCATTCTGTTCACAGGTGTTAGCTACTTAGTACCATATTGCTAAGCTTCAAAACCTATCCAATTAATATAAGTCGATATATATTTTGTACCATATTTGTAATATTAGTTTTAATTTCGATTGGTTTTTATGAAAGTAAATAGTCGTTTCACCAAAATCTGATTCAGTTTTGATCAGAAATAAACAGTAATATAATACACACTCGTTCTGATGAAATATTAACTGTGTCAGCGATATACCTTTTAACAGTATAAATTACTAAAACTTCCCTGCTTCCTGGATTATTGAATTCGCCTGTAATAATGTTTTCTAGGATTTATAATATTTTTATTCCAATCTCTAAGATACTCTGATCTTGTCAATTGTAAATGTTAGTTCTCTACTTTAATGTTCAATCTATTAAACGAAATACATCAGTTTTAAAAACAAATATTAACTAATTACTGATAATTAACTTATACGTCTTTAGCAATGTCTTTTATGTTAACAGCTAATTTTAGTTTATGTCATCAAACTATGATTCTTTTATAGAAACAACAAATTGTTGGATTTAGTTGCTCAGAAAACTGTACAAATCAACACGTTCGTGCTTCATTTAACCCATCTAATTCAACCGTGTTCTGTCATATAGAAGTGGTATGATTAATTTATTTTTTGTCTTTTATAGCAATTTTTTTTTATCAAATTACAAATACAGTGTATACTGTAAACATTTTATAGACTTTTTTTTCGTATTGTAAAAAGATGTTTATTTAGATAGTCCCATAGTACTACTTAATTTTTTATCGATGAGCATTTAAATGAACGAATTAATTATCATCCTTAATCCAACTGCATAAAATTTTGGAAGATCCTTACTTTGTACAATTCACATTGTCTAGATAATATTCTGTTTATCATTAATCCAATCGAACTTGTTGACAGCTTAATGTTTATTAAACATTTTAATTTAATTTATCGATGTATGTTTTGACGGTTTTCGTTTTGGTGGTATTATCAAGCGTCATTTGTTTTTATCTTTCATTCCCAGTGAAGTCAGTTTAATATTAACAAAGTGGATTATCAAGTTATTTCCCATAGTGTAGATGTTTGATCAATGGAATTGAGATAAATCAAAGAGAGATAAAAGGCATTTAAAAATCTTCGTTTATTTGACATCAACAATTTATTTGACATTTAATTACAAATACGGCTATGAAGCTTCAGTAATTAGCATCGTCAGAAAGAATATCTCTCTGAATTACTTTAGTATTTTTTTAATATCACAATGAGTTCTCGTTATGATTGAGTTAATAGCTAAATAATTTTCCGTTACGCACATTATTTCTAGTAAAATATCCAGTTGTAAATAATCTTGGTTGATTAAGTGATGTCCTGTTCTCATGAGTTTGTACTTACTGTGTTATACTAGCTTGTTAAAAGTATATTATTTAACAAAACTTAATACAATATAACAAATGGACCTATTTTCATGTCTTGCACTAGATATATTTAACCACTTTGTTTTTTACCTACTTCAGTATAGTTTCGTTGCCTGCTTTTGCGATAATGCAAACTTATTACTCTACTATTTGAATATATGATACAATCCTCATTTCATCATATTCTCTGTACTACCCACCCTTTTATTATCAACACTTAACTGTATTTTACACTTTGTCCAAACTTTGTAATCTACCAATCATTAGATGAATTTAACCAAACACTTAAGTACTCGTCTGTTAAATAACAATGATATCCAACGATCACATGATACAGCTGTAATTTGTGGCTTAGATCTTTATTGGCACGGATTGGACAGTCGTGATGCAAAAGGCCATCGTATGGTTAACGAAGATCAAGTTCAAGGTCAGTTACTTTGTTTTATTGGTTTTAATACATTGTTGATTAAAACAGCGCACAGGGTAAAATCCATACCGAAATTTTGTGTGGTTTGTTTTGGATAATTAAATTTTAATTATTTCACGCTCATAGATTTGTTCGTATCCATTTTCTGGGTCATATTTCTGGCAAAGTGAGTTGCATGTAGCAGCAGTATGTACTCACAATATTATTTTCTGATATAAGCCTTATACAAACAAACCACGTATTTTCTATGTTCAGATGGATGTAATTTCAAATGTTTGTGAACAGCTTCTCACCTAATACATAAACTAACATTGACTGGTTACTTTGTTTTTTAAAAAATATAATATCCCATAACTATTGTGCCACTCATACGTTTGTTCTTTTCCTATGTTTTGGTTTCAGTGGAGGTTTATGCATGTGAATGGTTGGCTGAATACTGTGATGAATGTTTAGATCTTCCCCCCCGATTTGGTTGTGGCTGGTGTGTTAATGCTCGGGAAAATATCCATATTAATGACTATGAGAATAAAAACATACTAAATGAAGGCAAATGTCGTACTCAGAATTCATGCGTTACACGTAAATATTTCAATGGTTCTACAGCTGTACGTCAGCATTCTTTTCGTCCGGGCGATGTATGCCCAAATCCTGAAATCTTAACTGTAAGTCATAGAGAATAGATATTTAACTTCAAATGTGTTATCTCAGCCTTGGTATGTTTTAAATATGTTGGCTATATAAAAAAACCCTACTAAGTAGCAGATATTTACCTATTGGATTTAAATGTATTTATATTTCTGTAGTAGTTATGAAGAAAGAAATTACCCTTTCCAGCCGAACTTAGTTGATGAAGCAAGTAGACCCTTCTGGAGAAGAAGCGTACATGGAAGCACATCACAATCGCCTGGGCGCAACGGTTTCTTTTCGTAATAGATGTTTTGTTCGTTGACCTAGTTTCGTGTCCGGTAATCGCTGACCATCCATATACCACACAGCAATCATTTTTTGTGCCTTTGTGTGTAGGAAGCATCTTATCACATCCTTTGAATGGACAATGGTGCAGATTGTTTGCTGTTTCTAGTATGTGTTTTGATAACTGGTGTTCGTTTGAGTTGTTGCTTGGATAGATTATGTGTTTTGTGCATGTGTTGGATGAAATGGCGATATAGCCATTCTGCGGTCTTATATGTTTTGTTGTGATCTGTCAATAGCCATATGTGTCGATCTGTTTGTGTATTGATTGGAGTGTTCTGTCCGTGATCGTTTCTCAAGTGTCTGTTAATCTCTTTAGTGGTGGCGAATAGTCGATCGCAAGGTTCGTTTTGACATTTGTATTGTGAATTCTCATTTTCGGATTAGTCTCGGATTATGTCCTTTTTTGTTTATTTTAACTTTACCCGGATTGTTTAACCAGTTCAGTGGTAGTCTCTCTTGAATCTCATCGCGGTCAAGGCTTAGTTGTTGTATCCGGTTTTATTTTGAGGCCTTTTGTTGTTGTTTAGGTCACTTATTTGACTTTTTAAAGACCATACCTGGTGTTCTTTTTTGTAATACCTTAGCTACTCATGATTCCATTTGAACATTTGTTTTCTTTTAATAACTACCGTTTGGATTATTCACACTGAACTGAATGTTTAAGAACTTAAAGGGAATAGGGGTCATCATCAATTTTTGAGAGTTAATTTTAAGCAAGTTTTTAATATGATTGGAATCGGGATTTCCTCAGGATATCTGAATATTGGAATCTAACTAATCTCTTATTTTAAATATGTCAGCATTCAAAACGTGATAGAGAGATTCTCTATTTTCTTGAGATTTTTGAAACAGAATTACTCTAAAGTTGGAGATATGAAATTTCTTCCGTTGGTTAAAGATTGTGAAGATTGTTGAGTTTTGAACTCAAAACCTTCAATCTCGTGCGCAAACACTTAACCTCTAGACTTCGGGGTTAAGAATTTGTGTACGAGATGGAAAGTCCTGGGTTTCAGCCCAGCATTCGAGGTTGTGGATGTGCGCTGATGAGGAGTCATATACCAGGACGAAACGGCTGCCCAGTGCTCCCGGGTTTCCAATATTGGTCTGACGTAGATTTGTTCATAGTTTCAATAAAATTCCTTTTACCATACATGGTCATTTATTTATATATTTGTAATTTATATTTAGCTTTTTTCTCTCATTACTCACGGGACAGTTTTTTGCTGATCGCTCTTTAAATCTTCATCCGCTTTCTATTCTTTTTCTTCAACAATTAGCTTTCCCCAACTAATGCCACATTGACAGGACAAACGATACTTACTATTACTGGTAGAAATCTGGGTCGTAGTGTATCTGATATAGTAGATGTCTTTCTGGATCTTCAATCAAAAATCCAATGTATTGTTTTATCAGAAACATATCAACGTTCACATAAATTTATGTGCAAGCTTGTTACAGCACCTCATTTATCACTTCCTGTTTCTGGCAAATTAAAGGTTGTGATAAGCAATAAACGATATGAAGTGAGTAGTGTTAATATATGGAAAAATGAATCAATCTGTACGATTAAGCTTTTCTAATTCTATCAAATTATGCATAGCCTAACTACCGCGTTAAAACGATGAAATCGACTCATAAATATGTAGTGTATGCTACTTATGTCGACAGACATATGTAACCAGTCGGAAGTGAAAAACTTAGCATCAGAAGACTAAGAAGATCGAATTGAAGAGAATAGAAGGGAAAACAGAAAGGAATTACGGACTGGAAAAAATCATACATAATGTGAAGGAAAAATAATGGTTCTCATATCTTACCAAGAGTTTCTTGAATTTAGTAGTTAAATGCAATTGCTTGTCCCCATTTGTGTTCTCGTCCACTACATATATATTTATGAAGTCCCTACCTACCCTACATATTAGTACAGTCGGTTTCCTCTTAAAAATAGAATGGATCATTATATATTACTTTGAATATTATTGGAATTATAGTTCTTAACAAAGTTTACTTAAATGTGTTAATTTCACTCATCAATATATAGTCTGTTCATGTTCTTTGCCAAAATGTTATGTCAGGTAAATATATTTTCTCACTTATCTTTAGGCATTTTCACCTGTTTTTCACTTCGCTGTTCCTCATTTAATACATGCCACACCTCACCGTGGACCTAAAGCAGGTGGAACCCGATTATATTTATCAGGTACTAACCTAAACATTGGGAGGCAACGCGCTGTTTATTTATATCTCCCAACAATCAGTGGGACAAGTGATGAATCTTATCAAAATAGGTTTTCAGAATCTGATGTTCATGTGAAATGTGAAATCGAACAGTAAGTTTCATACACAGTTGTTGCTCATAAATTTGCATATTCATGTTACTTTAATGTCCGAAATGTCAGCTTATATCAAAGTAGACATAACGACTGTTCTAATGGTTATATTATAATACGAATGACAAAAGAAAATAATAATCTGTTACTATTTTCTTTATGGTTTATTTTACTTGAAGTATACTGGAACCCCTCTATCACATTCACTGACAGATTTACAGAACATTTATTGTTTTATCTGTTCTTTTATTCTTTGGCATCATATCAAAATTTTATATCATTGTATTGGTGATATAAAATAACTCTTTACAAAATAAACAGTAGTCTATAAATGACCAATGAACTACAGTCAAGTTTTCTGATACAAATAAAATTTCAATCCAGATGTTAGCAAATATCATAAACACTAATTTACAGTATTTGTTTTTGTATTAGAAACTCGATTGACCTAGCTGCATACAAATAATATTAAATTGTTTAAGGCATATCAGTTCTAAAGTATATCCAAGTGTTGGTATTTTGTTCTTGTTAAACATTTCAGATCGATTTCAGCAATATATTTTTATTTTAGCGTTCATTCATAAAATTTTCGTATAAATTGTTCATTCTTCTAAATTTTATCCTTAGGATTTAAAATTTGTTTCACCTTTATCCGCATCCAGTTATGTTGGTAATACTTAATGTTTATATGGTTTTCTCTCTTATAGCTTTTTTCTTACATTTTATGCTACTGTATCCATCTTAAGATTTTATTATACATTAGGTATCCTGTGATATGTACTAAATTACAAATACTAACAGTTAGTGCGATGAGAAGACGGAGGTTATCAGGATTATGTGATATATTTGCACAATACATGTCGAACAACGTTATTCTTTAATTTTTCTAATAATGTTCCGTCTAAACTTTTAGCACCCCATAATGATATCAGCCTTTATTAATTAATCCCTATTCGAATTACCTAATTGCAACATCTTGATTTCCAGTTCATCTTTTCCTAGAATACCAGTTTAAATGAATAACTAGTCATTAGGTAATGCATAAAATTGTTTAAGCTACTCTTCATTCTTAATTATTAAATGTTTATTCATAAAAAAATTTTTAATTATTGAATGAATGTTTCCTTACTACATGTGCTTGTTTTCTAATCAGTTACGCGTTAGATGGCGTCACCGTTTACGGATATGCATTTTACCATATTCATTCCCTAATCTTTCTCTCTGTCCTAATCGTAAATAGGCGTAATCGTATTAGACAGTGAGCATATTTCATGATGAAAATAAGAAAGACTAATTAGTTTGACTTGGTCCAGTAGTCAGAAAAAAACTAAGTCAAACCATTATTCATTTAATTAATAATTGATAAACTCTATTATCGTCATATACAATATCATCACAATTGTACGGTGTTAATTGTTTTTGTAATTTTTCATTACTTTTTTGACAATCCTTTGTTAAGTTAAACTGCTCAATGTACTGTTGTTTTGTTATAATACCTTAACACAGATATTTCTCGTTTTGTATTTCTCCTGTGAAATACTACTTGAATACTTCATGCATAATTCAATGTTTTAAATTTTTTTTACCAGGGAATCTGAAACATTAATTGTTTGTTTAACTACTCCATTACTTAAAGAAACAATGAATACAATGAGAAATAAAAAACAATTTAAACGGCATTCATCATTTGTAAACTCTTACGATGATGACAATAATAAGACATCAATAACACCAGAAACAACAACGATAACAGAAGATGAACATCATATATCATTATCATTAGTTATAATGCATGATATGACTTTAACTTATCTATCACATTCATTTTCATTTATCTATACACCGAATCCATCTATACTGGAAGTTCAACGACAAAGCGTTTTGGTTGGGTTAGTTAGTTAATTAGTTCAATAATCTGCTCTTTTATTATTATATTGTTATGCTTATTATTATTGGTTATATTGTTTTACATATTTCGTTTCAAAAAAATTTATAGTCATCATTATCATCATTTATATTATCATTGGTTCATAATAAATTACAGAAAGCATGCCGGTTAACGGTCATGATTAAGTTGATACAGAAAGGAGCGTAATGTGTAGTGGATAGAGATATAAGAGTAAATTGTTTTGAAAAGACATTTAACACAGAACTTATAACACTGTGAAATATCAAATGAGAATCATTATTTTCTTTCCAGTGTTACTAGGATGAATAGTGTATCATCGAGAGAGCAGTAATAAATGAATCCATAGCCCGGTAACATGAGTTAAAAAAGAACAGAATATCTCGAACACCACAAATACAAATAAACAACTTAATTTCAGTAAAAATGAATAGTGGGATATACGTAAATGCTGTGTAGAAACAATAAAATTAATTAATCTGAACTGGAAAATTAAAATGAGTTATATATATGCAAGATTATCTGCACTTAATTAATCTATCCCTTTCAAAATCAATTTTTTCCCAATAGTAAATGATGATAGTCATAAAACCAGCCTTTATATATATAAGGAAATATATGTTTCTAAATGAAAAGCACAGATACAACAATTACGATTTAAATTTATGACTATAATATTTAAATTACGAAGTGTATATTAGCTATGTTTGTGTAATTAAAAAATAACACATATTAAAACGATATGATTCTTCATCTAAAATCTATTTGTCGCAATGATAACTGTCTTCAAATTGTGATTAATTAGCATTTACCAAATCACATAAAATACAGTTTATGCTTTAAATGTTACTATCATAGTTTAGTATCTTACTGTTTATGACAATTTATGCAGATATCAGTTATTAGGTGATTTGTTTATTCCAAGTACAGTACTATGATCAGTGTAGAAAAAGTCGTTTTCAAATAAGCTCTGTTAGACTGACTTTAGACGTCAAAGCTACAGACTGAAATTACACATATGCTATTGTAGTTATTTTCGAAATATTGATACTAAAACTTTGAGATTTTCCTTCGCATTTATAGTTCTACAACTAAGTGGTAGGGAAGACAATTATTATTGCTGTTTTAGATATTATCACTATGGGTTGGAACAGTGACGCAAATGTTGGAATTTTCATTGCTCTCATCCTTACTGTCTCTTCTTTCTTACAATTTTGATCATCAAAAAGTAGATTTAACAGTTTATGTATTGTGATTTAGCCAACGTTTTCTTCACAGTAGCTATTCGTTTTAATCACAATTAATCACTTGACATTATATCCATGAAATTTACTAGATGTGTTTTTTATCAGCACGAGTCGTTTGAAATATCCTAGCTTCTCACATGAGGTTAATTTATGGCTGAATTATTGGATGAAAGATACTTATTCAAATCAACTAAGATATTTGTGATTTTTTATAATAAGTTTGATTTAAATTAGTGCTTGGTGAAACACATCAAGAGGGTTTTCCGACTTCGATATACGTGATTGTTTCAATGTTCCTCGAATTTTAGTGCCTAAATGTACTCAACTATTTCTTCATGTTGTTTTTATTATCTTTTTGACTAATTATTTATGTCGTAAGAGTTTTTACACATTGATTGTTGATACTCAAAACTGAACTGATCAGTACCTGCTAGTATATAGGTTCTTTAAATAAAAGCCTTGACACTGTATTTACATAATGGTTATATATTTTCGTAGTGACTAGTATTGGAGACTGAATATGGAAAATGGGGATTTTCATGCCGTTGCCACATAATTGATATTTCACTATCGTCGAACAAGAGGTGGGTACTATAACTCTGTAGGCTTTATACATAACGGGGCTAATATTTAGATAGTTAAGCCACTAAGTAACATCAACATCAGGATCAAAATAGATTAATTCGAAGAATCGCCCATAGAGTTCATATTAATTTCCACTATCAAAGTATTTTTCCCCCATTTTGGTTTTTAGTTTAAGAAATATCTTCAAGTAGTTGGTAGACCATTGTAGTGTTTACTCATTAGTCATTCTTCATAAGTGGAACGACTTCCTGGCTAATAGTTCTACCTCCTCTTTAATATATCATAATGCACCATGAATTCAACCCTATTATATTTTTTTCAGAGGTGGAACTACCGTACGAGCTCTTGGATCCTTTTTATTTGTAGTTCAAGACCCTCGATTAGTCTTTTATTTCAATGGTTCCGAGTACAGCATGGTAGGTTAGTTTTTGACGTTTGTTGTTACATTCGTGTACTTTGTTTTTCCTTAAATAGAAACGTTTTATGTAAACTTTTATGTTAAGTCATTTCACCACTTTATTTGATGTATAATACATGGGGATGTACGTACTGGATTTTCAAAACTATCGCAACAATTAAGTTTAACTCATTTTTATCTACAATAGACTCTGTAGTATTCTTTGTTTCAGTATTTCTCATCAAATAATCGGTATTACTCTAGAATCTTGTTTTCAGTCTTTAAGTTGTAGTCTTAACAAAATACCATTGCCTGTTAATACCTTTATGATTTAATTGAACTGGTTTACTCATTCTGAATCGATGAATTTTTTCACTCTCAGAGTTCCAACACTTTAACTGGTTATTATCTTCATTCAAATGCAACTTAGAGCTATGCTGTAGAATTATTGATTATGATTTATCGGCCAATACTACTTATATCATCATTAAGATATTGAAATATATATCAATATCTGTGTATGGTACACTACGGTGCTCTCTCTCCCTCGTACAGTGTCATTTATAAGGTAATTATCGGTGTTTAATCTCGTATACAGAGTTTTATGAGCTAATATTATTGACGTTATTTCCCACCTTTACGTAGAATAGATAAAGCTCGTAATGTGGTAACTGGATTATCATTGGTTAAGGGAACTAGGACGTGTGTTGATCAAATGTAGTCGCTATTTACCCTAACATCCAATATCAGTTGTAAAATAGGTCAAGAAAAAAAATCTAGGGAAGATCAAGTCGATTCTTAAGATCGAATTGATCGATTACCGGTTTAAGCTACTTGATAAAGTACATACTTCTTCGTAGGCTCACGATATCTAAGCTAACAGTGATTGAAGGCTTAGTGTTAGTTCATAACTGGCTGTATTGTTGTACATACATTCATTGTATTTTTTTTACAAATCTTAAACATCAGTTTATTCCTCATTTCATTTGTTACTTATCTGATTATATACAGTTTTACTGATTCATGATGATATTTTGTTTCTCTTATATATATAAATATAGTTCCAAGTAGAATAGATATTGTTGAATAAGTGGTGTGACTATAATTTATAGACAAACCAATGAAACGAAAGATATCAAATCTTGCACTTTGGCGCGAAGTTCACCCAGACATATAGTTAGATAGCGCTTTGGTATTATAACTTATGTCATTTTATGATGAAAACTCTTACTTTAATTCATGACGTTAAATTCCAGTTTTAATTACTCATATTAATTGATAACGATCTTTTGTTCCTAGTAAGTAGGTGAGTTGTCTCAAGGTCACTTTAGCACCACTCAAAGGTCATTTATTAATTATAGCCCCACCGAATCAGTTGTATTGTCTTTATTTTTATATTTAATGTTTTAATTATTTATTATCTTAATAATAAATTTACTTTTGAGAGTGTTTATGATTGCTTGAAGTATATCACCGGAGTATACTAAGAAGCCTAAGTCACTAAGTTCAACTTTGTTTTCTATCAACAAAAATGTATAAATTTTTTCTTATGTCCATCATTAGAGTTGCCTTGTTTCTTCAAATGGACAATTAGATTGTTTCAGTCCTTCTCTTGGGATGTTTCAAGATACTCATTTGGTCAAGGATATGAATGATAAACACATATATACGAGTGAAAAACTTGATAATCTCTCTAGTACTAGTGTTCGGACAAATAGAAAACAATATATTACCTCTCGTTTGCCGATTTCTCAACCACTGGTGTTGTCTCAATTGAAATCAAACCGCGAGTTTTATAATTCTGCCTTTAAATCTAATCCACCTAATTGGCCAACTGATGTACCATATGGTTTTATTATGGATGGTGTACATCAACTTCGCATATTTGGTCTCATTAAAGTAAGCTCTTAGTAAAAATTTGCCTAACCTGATTATTTGTTTTCATAAGCTTAAGAGCAATTAATTTAGACATCTAATTTGTAATCTATAAATTATATGCTTTAAATCAGTTTTAAGTACCGATGTTGTACTTTTCATCTTTTAACCATGTGCTCTCTCTGTCTTTCTAAACACCTTTGAGTACATCCATGCATAGAAGCCTAATCAGTTGTTAAAATTAATCGAATAGGTAAATTTTTAAAAGCTGTCTCAAATATGCCAATAAACGTTGGCTATTACAATAATCACGATATCCAAATTCCATCTTTAATCTAACACGATGCAAACGGTAAACATATGTAGTAATATATCTAGTATATCAGAATGGGTTTTGTGGAGAGTTTAAGAAATTTTACAAGTTGAAATCATGAGTCAGTTGAAGCTAGACCACCATTGAAAACCTGGAAGCACTGGACGGCCGTTTCGTCCTGGTATGGGACTCCTCAGCAGTGTGCATCCACGATTCCGCACCACGCGGGGCTCGAACCCAGGACCTACTGGCTTCGCGCGCGAGCAGTATATTACACTGAAACTTACTGGAATGCATCGTTTTCTTAAATAGAAAAAAAATGACACATTGAACCCGCTCCTGTATCCATAATTTGTAAGTTTTTTAATTGGCTTCTTAAACACTGAACATTTTAGAATGTAAGTGCATACACAATGTGTTTCTTGTCTTAACGTGCAATAGTTAATCATGTATATATTTACATTGAGGTAACTTTTGCATTGATTTTTCATATCTATTGGACTAAGTTTTATTCGTGACTGAGTCATGTGATACATCAGATTGGTCTGTATTTGCTTTTTTTTGCTTATATACTCCTAATTAATGTAAGCACTACTCTCTTCAATATACTACAAAAAAAGTATTAGGCAGTGTGTTGTGAATTATTTTCAATGATTTGTTAAATAAACATGACTCATATTATGATTGTTACATAGGGAAACAATCGAAATGCTAGTCAGTGGATCGTTTTTTTTCCAACCTTGACTAACAGATTTCAGCTTTGGATATCTGAATGGTAATCTACACTGTTTAAATTCAAAGTTAATTTCTTTTATGTTATCTCTGGTCTACCCGGGTCACGTTTAAATAAAGTTGTAATTTATCAGAACTACAAAATCTGAATTCTTTAGAATGATAACCTTTAGTTTTGTTGCCATGGTTACCGAGGGCTTCTAGATTCTCTTTAAACATACACATACTTGATAGATGATCTATTTATAATTTTGTTAATAGATCATTGAGGTAACGGACATTCTGAAAATACCCTTATAAAGTATTCACTCAATTGGAAAGTATATGTTAAGTTTCGGGAGATGGGCAGAAATTTATTCGGCTCGAATATGGGCAATTGAGTCTGTGTATAAATCAGCATTCAGTTTACTGACCTTATCAGTTGAAGTAATTTGTTTAGTATCAATCGTTTTGTTAATCAAATGGTAACGAGCATTACTTTCAGTACTTAACTCAGTTAAATGATTTATGTGTGCTTTCATTAACTCAATAAAGTACCTGTCATTTTTACGACTTGATTTTTTCTTAACAGTAACATACTGCTTCCTCATGATTACTAAGCAACATAAACTGAGAAGGAAGTTTTCCTTTTGAAGTTGACGATGCTTGTATTGGTATCTACTACTGTTTTGTTTCTGATTGATTGTAGTTTGAATTATGGTTAGACTTAAGATGCTAGTCAGAGTATGAGAATCATTGGTATCGGCAGTGCATATAAATGTTTTTCACGTAAGCACTATAGGAAACAGTATGATTAATTGTGATCTATAAAATTGTGGAGTCAACAGTAATTTCCTGTTTAAATGGTGTTCAGTAGCAGAATACCTGCAAAGGTCATGCATATTTTAAGGTTGGATTGGTGTCGTTAGATCCTGTAATACAGATATTCAGAAGCTATATGTTGTTCATTTCGATAAACTGAACGAGTTATTTAATTTCGTTACTAGAACTCTGAAGAGTGTTAATTGAATATAAAACTTTACTAATAATTATCTCCTCGAACTCACAGATTCAAGTTAGGGCTTATAGAGTATTGTCATATAGTATTACGATAACAAGTGGCATTCACAGAAGTTGCAATAATTCAGTAGGTTGTTTAGCTTTCTTATATCTAAACTGATGAAAGCGAATATTTAACTATAATTTCCCTGAGATTTAAGCTGTCTGGAGATCTTGTGACCAAGTCACAGCACATCAGTTACATAACTCTTTGGCAAAGCTACTAATAAGAAATAGTATCTTCTGACAAATTCGAGTAAAAATTGGGGAATTTATGGCACAATTTTATACTTTAGATAAGAATCAGGACTTTTCTGACTCATACACTCGGTTTAAGAACGAAGATTCAAGTGATTTTACGTATAGAATAATTTTCACATCTACTAACAAGATTTTATCAATCGTCTTGTCTGCTAATCTACGTTAAATAAGTCACTGTTCTTACCACCTTGAAGCTTATACTTGGTCATTGAATTAAATTTGATAATAGTTACTTTCACAACACTGCTAAGTTATCGTAGAAATAACATTAACCAAAGTTCTTCAATACGAAGATCACGAGATAATACGAATTGAGATGGGGGGGTAATGTTTCATATCTGGTAAGTTACCATCTGTCCTAAATTACTGTGTTTGCTGATATAAAATTTGGCTGATAAGGCTAGGCGTTGTGAAATCATCATGGACTAAATAACTGTCTATTCAGGTCGTATGATAAGGTTCAGATTTCCTGAATAAAGTTTCTCAGGATAATATGGATCAATGATTATAGACCTTAGATGACGAAACTCTAAGCGTTAACAGTTTATGCTTTAAAAAATAATTTGATTATCATTTATTTCCCCTCCTTGATCCATATCTCCCTTTAAATTCACTTGGTATTGTTTATTTGAGTCTTCCGATTGATGTTTAGGACTGCAATTGACCAGTCTCTTATTGGCATTTTTGAATACTGTATGTATTGCCTCGATATTGCCTTAATTCACAAGCATTATGTGCAAAGATGGATAGTGGCTAGCAGTGGAATTCAGGACGCGTATTTTGTCCTATTTGGGACTCGTCAGCTCGATGTACCTGCATCGCAGAGTTGATGTTCACTCTAGGACTCGAACCCAGTTCCGTTTGCCTCAAACGCCATCAGGTTATCCACTTAGCTACCGAGTCCCGTCGTTTACGTTAAAACTTCACTTTTTTAAATCTATGGAAATGTTTATTCGAGTTTCTACGTTGATAAATCTGTATATTCCTGATTTCAGGTGAAGTAATCTTTCATTTTCAATTATCATTTCATCTATACAGAAATCTTCAAATGGAATTTTTCTATAGATAATAATTTTAATCAGTTGATTTTGTGTTTATATTAATTAACTTTTTCAGATATTCAATTTGTGTAGCGTGTTTTATTATTGATACATTTCTACTATATTTTACTATTAGATCATACTACTGTTATATTACAAACAAGTCTCATAAAACATGTTCACTTTTTGTCATAGCATTTCTAATTATTTTAGGTATATCAAGATCCTATTGTAATTCCATTTCCTGATGGTATTCGTGTGGAAAATCTTGATGATTATCTAACAGATGATTTAACAAACGATCAACATATTGAACTTAATACTTATCAAAGTCAAACATCTAACCAATCATTGGAACTTTCATCTAAGTCAATTTCATTGACAAATACCCATTCATTATTCGATCAAATAGATTATTCTAATGTTAGACAATTAATTCGAATTCACGGCCATTTTGATGCTCTTATCAATGCTCCAGAACTAGCTAAATCTGATGAATTAGTTGTAAGAATAGGCGATTCATTAATTTGTGAAGTTAATTCCATTATATTGACAGAGATACGTTGTGATTTAGATAGAAAAATGATTCATAAACATCAAGATTATCCTGTTGAAGTTCAAGTAAGCAGCTCACATTCAGTTTTTATATTGGTTTGTTAACATGATCAAATGTACGTTTCTCTTGTTAATATAATTCATATTTCATTAATTTTCTCGAAACTAGCTTGAAAGTCATACTTAACATATTTACTTAAAATATTGATTATGAGGGTGAAACCTTAAAGAATTTGGAGTCAGAAATGTTATTTTGCGAGTACAAAACTACATACATTTTTCACGGTGGCTCTGTGGTTGAAAGATTTATCTTACCGACCAATCGGTTGGAGAGTTGAATCTCACTCTACTTTCTTCTGTCTGTTAAATCGAGTGGTATCATTAGTCCTAATGTATAACTTTTGATCAACAATAACATTTGCTTAGATTAATCTTCCAAGTGCTTAATGAATCATGTATAATCAAAATAATGTTTCTAACAGCTTGAATTACAATGAAATGAGTTTATGAAGTTCTTGTTTTTTTGAAATTATAGTATTTTTCACATACTTGGGTAAGTAGTTCTCAATGAAGAACGCATACTGCCAGTAGTCGACTGTTTGAATGAATTTCTTGTAGAACTCCAACTTTGAGCTTCAGTCATAGGAATAATTATTGAAGTCTAGTCAGCAAGTCATGATGTACTGCACGTGGCATAATTTTTGGAGACGTTAAATGACATTCTGTAAAAGGGAAAGCTGTTGCGTTTATTATCTATATCGTAAATCTTAAGTATAGTATCACTATGTACTTCTTTCTCGATCTCATTTATTCCTCTTCGCCCATGTTCCTCAGCTCCAGCTTTCCACTGCATTACCTATTTAATCGTTTCTGATGTCTTGCATCTAGTCGATTTCCTTTCCTCCTGTACTAATATGGAATAGAAATGAGTATGACTGACTGACATTAATCATCGAAGGGGTGTTTTCCAATGTGTTGCTATTTTTTGACATCATCTAATCCATTATTCCTCAAAATAAAGTACGTTTGTTTTTGTTTGTTTTGGGACAAGTATTAAAGATTTTACAACTGTACTGCGATCTGCCAAGAACACATTAACTTTAGCACAATAACTAATGACTGTAATAGTTATCATAATTTTTTAATATCCTTTAAAGGTATGATATGAAAACCGTTTATACAGTAATAGTTTTGTCAAGCATACATAAATACTTCACACAATCAAAAAACTGTTTGAACATCGTCTAGCTTCATTACAGTTTATTATTATGCAGAAACCACTAAAATTTTACCCTTCGTTTACATGGAATTCGCTGATTTCCTGCTAAGTCACCATGTACAAATGTGCTTACGTTTCTAAATTAATGATAAGTTTTCTGAACTTAACTATAAAAATGCTTAGAAATGGAATGTTAATACAAAAAAAATTCTACTTTAATAACAGATACATTAAATAATCGATCAATGATAGAAAACGTTCTAAATATTGAAATATGTCAGTTATTCTGGAGAGATGATATAAATTTCACACTTCCACATGATAAAAATGTATGCAAATTAACAAGCAGACGCTAATTCATCCATAGGCTTTAGTTGAGCCACACATATTATGTCGAAGCTAATCACATGTAGTTAAAATTCACTTAACTTTTCTGAGTGTTAAATTTATTGGTTTTTGTTTTATTTTAACCAGTTATATGAAACTTGATGATTCTAATAACTTGAAAACCTGTGAAAATATTTTAATTTTATTTTGATTTTGTACTTACATACTAAGCATTTAACACCATCTTTCTTAATCCAATTAGTTTCTTTTCTATCTGTGTTATATAAAACTCTCAATAAATCTGTATTTTCACAGATTGAAATCATGAGTCAGTTGAAGCTAGACCACCATGGACGACCGTTTCGTCCTAGTATGGGACTCCTCAGCAGTGCGCATCCACGATCCCGCACCCCGCGGGATCTGACGATTCTCGTTTTTGAAGTTGATGAGTAAAGTTGAAATAAAACATGAGTGTCGACGGGAGTTAGATTAACAAAATTCAAATTACTGATATATTGTACTGGTTCTTTGTGGTGACTGGGACTCAGGCTGTGTTTAGACTATCCAATAAGTCATTCTTTTAACTCATTCTTTTCCTATGATTCAATTGTTCAGTTTTTTTCGTAGAGTTTGTTAATTTATATAACAGTACAATGACTTTTTCTTTAGACAACAAAGTACAACGATTTCATCAGATTTTATTGAGCTTTATAATCGTCATCAATTAATATGCATGAAAATTGAGAAAGCTGTACTTTTAATCCTTGGCAAAAGTTAAAAACAACTATAATAGTTGGTGTGAGGCGAAAATGTTAGACCGATGAAATTAGCATATTTATGTATATACACCAGGAAATGTGTCATTTCTTTGTGTGAAATATGATAACGATTATTAGAGTATTCTACTATGTGGAACAAATCATAGCTGTAAAACAATGAAACGATTATATCGGTTTTTCTATTTTTATTCTTTCTAATGTCATGTAAAAAAAGAAATTTCCTTAAATTAATTTACTCAAACTGGAATGTCTGCTAAATGAACAACTCGCCATCTCCAACTAATCATTTGTTTTAAAGTATTCGTGAAGGTTGCTGAAAATCGTTGTTCCCAACCCATTTATTAAGAAAACAAATATTGAACCAAAAGGTTTAAATAAAAAATCTCAAAGTGTAATGTTAGAACTTAAATCTTTCTTCTTTAGAAAATATTAATAATTAATATTACCAGTTTTGTGTACATCTGAATTATCTTACTTGTTTCGGATGATTAAAGCATTCATCGTCTTTCTGTGTTAGATAATTTTGTGGGGGGAATTTGATATTTCGAAATGATGTCAGCTGAAGTACCACTAAAAATTAGGTCACATTAGAAAGTTGTTTCCATTCTTGTTCGGAACACCTTATCAACATGCATTGGTGCAAGCTCAGGACTTTCACGTCTCTCGGTGTGTATGTTAACACTAGACATTTGAATTGAAATCCGATGTCTGATATTTTCAATTCATGATTTGGTGTTATCATCATCAATAAGTTGCATTCTCACCTTGAACTGATCTCAACGTTTCATGAAAACTCCATGAAACTCATCTTGTGATCATTAATGAGCACACGATTATCATTATGTGGTATTGAGAAATTTTCGTTTATAAGTTTTCTTTGTATTTCGTATACTCATCTTTTGTCACGAATTTACACCGAACTACATATTTACATATATAATGTGGTTCATTGTTACGTCATTTTTGTCTTATCTCAATGTTTTTATTTTACTGTCTGACCTACTTTTTTTAATCGTCATCACTACATATTTTATACGCAAATTCAGACTCTAAGGCTAACCAATAATTTTGCTTAGGTTACAGATCTAAAACAAAGTAGTAAACCTCTTTCACCATAACATTCGTTTTGTTTTTGTTTTGAACTTTACTCACATACCTACACAGACGTTTTTTTACGTATCTACACTAATTCGTGTTAAATGTTATGTGCATATTTGGACCAGTGTTTTTGTTTTGTTTGTGGTCAAAATTCTGCATTTCGACAACATAGTTCAAATTTCAGCATAGATAAAATACTTATTACTTGATGTCATTTGTTTTCAACTGCATTTCGTTTGTTTTTGGCGAACTAACTTATAGAATATTTTCGAAACTAGATTCAAACAACAGTCAATATTAACGTGTACATCATAACAGAGCTCAGACCGATAATCATAGATTTCATCGAATGATGCAATCTCTTAGGCTTTTTCTTATTTTACTAATAAGCTATCCAGCTCAATTAATCAAGGTTGGTGGTTGTGAAGATAGGATCCACCTACTTCCCATATATATTTCGTACTCATCAACACTTAGCTAAAGCCATGTAAGATGAAGTTTTGTTGATTATCAATTCACTAAAGATGACAGAACTCGACATTCTCAAACACTTTACTCTAAATGACAATTCTTTATCTTATGCGAGGAAATGGGGAAACCAACGATATCAAACCATTGGTGGATTCGAAGCGAGTAATACTGAAGTTATTTCCACAATCATAGATAAAGTAGTTGACTCAGTCTCTACGATTCTATACTTTTACCACAGCAACTCATTCATGCATCGTTTATGAGATAAGTATCGCTTTATCCGTCTATTTCTCTAATTTTTGTTCTAAAAATATTGAGAATCCCTTACTGCGTCTATAATACAGTTCTCTTTAATTTCTCTTATGTACAGCATACTAACCGTCAGAGAAAGTTCATGAATAACTGATTGACATTATTTACTACCTTAACGTCTAATTAAACTTATTTTAAAAGATTAATTTATAGTGTCACAGTAGAGAATTAGATGTAGGTTAAAATTAATTTATCAAGACGATCTTTTGTAAAGCGAATAATGATTTATGTTTTACTAGACATGTATGCAACAAAGTCACTCTTGGAAATTTATATACGCGATTACAAAGAAACATAATTCATAAGCTTTTCATCACTTCCTTTTGTGTTAACTTATACTTCTGTTTTCATATGATTTAAAGGTAGTGGGATATTCCTTTTGAGTTAGCAAGTTTACTCTAGCCCCTAAATACCCTGGTACGGTTGAGGGTGGTGTGAGTTAGCTCTACCTCTCGAAATGCTCTAACATGGCCACACGTACAAAACCACTGTCAGGGAACTCGTGCTCACTGCCTTCTCGAGACACTACTGTTATTTACGAAACTGAGAGGACGAAGAGCGAATGTTTGGCGCTTTATCCGGTTTGGTGGACGCGGAGAGAGTTGGAAAACCCTGATTCCAAACCAGTGGTGCACATGAGCCCCATTACCTTGAGGTAATAAATGGCGTATGAACAAGTTGTTGGTCACTGGATAACATGTGACTGCATCTCCTGACGTTGCTCCACTGCCTTGTGGATCAGACCATTAGATCGAAGGCCTCGGGTGCGGCCTCCTAAGAAAACCACCTGTTTTGGTCTGGGCACTCGGGCAGTATCACAGCCAACACACAAGTCAAGTGACTTGTGTGGCGCATATGTATTCAGTGCCCTTTATACCGATATTTATGTATTCAAATAAGTAAATAAACTATTCCTAAACGTTCACTTGTAGGCAAACTGATATAAAACTGTATATTTATAGATTGTTTCGAATAAATTTGTATTTGATCAACCATAAATTTATTTTGGTAATTGTATTATCAAAATGGTGTAATTAAATTTTTTATAACACTGAGTAACATGTTCACTTTTATTTCAAAATCTCAATTTGCATTGTTCAAAGTTTGCTAAAATAAAACGGCTCTTTGTTACTAAGTTATAAAACGAAATAAACAATATAAGAATAAGTTTTATTAGTTATCGATAATATTTTCGTTAAAAAAACACTAAACATATCAGTATCGTAATGTAAAACAGTAATATATATATTGAGATCATGAACCGATTGATGTTGGACCACCATTGAAAACCTGGAAGCACTGGACGGCCCTTTCGTCCTATTGTGGGACTCCTCACAGCAGTGCTAGTCCACGATCCCGCTCGCGGGCTTCGAACCCAGGGCCTTCAGTCTTGCGCGCGAACGCCTAACCTACTGGACCACTGAGCCGGCACCCAATGGCGTTAGTGCCTAACCTCAACCAATCCACGAAGTTGCTCGACCATCTTCAAATGTACTGAGGTTGACACCTGTTTCTACCCGACACGGATTAGCTCCACTGGTCACTGCTTCTCACCAGAACTCCGAGAATTTTCTCACGAAGCTAGTCACTAGTGAGCACATGATAATTATCAGTTTAGGGGTTGTGGAAATTGTTTTCAATCGTGGTCTCATGTCAATCGGTTCATAATCTCAATCAAAAAACTTAACAATCTCCACAGCCCCTAAACTGAGTATTATATATACACATTATATTTATATTTACTTACCAGTTACTATTTTTATTTCATAAATGAAGTTGACTTTATAATCAGTTTCAAAGTTTTGTACATAATCCCCACTCCCATAAAAAAATTGCTTCCACGCTCTATTTTGTTTTGTTTGACTTTTTTCTTGCAGTTTGGACGTTTTCTTATTTATCGTCCTGGTTCTGTTCGCTTTGTTGCTTTACGTCAAGCAGCATTACGCAGTCAAATTATCATGATCTTTATTGGTCTTCTTCTAATTTTAATCTTTGTTTGTCTGATTGGATTTATAATTTGGCGACGTTTTATGCAACATCAAAGAAATTATCAAGCTAAACTTGATGAAAAATACGCTGAACATGAAAATCGTGTTGTTCGTATATTTAAAGAAGGTTTGTGCTATTTAAGTATATTCATGTTCAATATTTGTTTTTCTGGATTATAATGTTGCTTCGTTCTTTTTTAATCGTTCATTTGAATATTTTTCAGTTTGATAGCAATTACATGTAGTTCATTTCAAATTGTAGTGTACTTTGAAGTGTTATTTTTATGATTGAAATTTTCTCATTCCATGAGAAATAAATAGTAATCAACCAATTAAAATTTCTTATCATTCTTTGATAAATAAAATTACAAAACATGAATAACCCATTTAAATCTAATGTACGCTCACAAAATTCCAACTTGATTTACTGGATCGAAAGTACGTAAATTAAGTAGTAGTGTAGTGAACGAGAACACAAATGGGGACAGTCGAATGTATTTGAACAGGAAATTACAGAACATCTTAGTAAAATATGAGAACCATACAGTAAATACTTCATTTGCAAAGTGTCAATCAATCATCTCAGTCTTCATTGTTCTTTCGTATCCACACCAATCATTTTCTGTTCTCGTTCCCTCTTCTTCGGTCTTCTTAACCTTCTCCTGCCAGGTATTTCACTTTCTGCTAATGATACATACTACTTGTATTTATCGACATCAGTAACATGCACCATAGTAGTATTTTCTTCAACACAATAATCGTGAATACTTTCTACTAAAAATAAACTTTTTCATCAGCCAATATCTGTTTCTTTATTAAATTTAATATCTAGTATTTTTTTGTCTACAACTGGCATTCGTAAATCTTTTATTTCTATCATGCTAACTTATATTTGATAACACATGTACTGAAGTTCGAAATATGAATTAGATGGAATTCTGACTGTGTGGCCTATAAGGTATTATGTTTGCAATGAGTTCTGCAAGTTCGAAGTTCATAAATATTTGAGTCATGTTAATAAATCTGTCTATTAACCCTCGCCTTTTCCCATCAGTTGACCAGCTTGGTGTTTTTTTCGTGACGAAAAATCTTCATGTTAAAAAACCTATCTTAAGTTTTTATTTACTTAGTTTACAAACTACCGTATTAAAAGGGTAGAACATCGGGTGCTGATCAAATACATTGTTTTTACCTTGCATTTATATCTGCTAACAATAACTAACCTACCGTAATAACTTAATATTAAGATTATTTTTCGGAATTAATAATCAAATAGTTTAATTGAGTTTCTTTTTCTCTTTATAAATGATAATAGATTTCATGGAATTACAAACAAGTATGCAAGAATTTTCTCAAGAAGTGAAAAAGCATAATCTACCTTATCGAGATTATAAAACATTCTGCCTGTTTTCGTTATTTCCTGAATATCATTGTGAATTAATGAATCCAATCGATCCACATTTATCTGTTCCATTATTAATTAAAACTGATGTAACAATTGAACCACTGAATAGTGCAATTGTACCACCTCATCCATTGTTGTCACCTTTCACAGTAAGTGGGTTAAAATAAAAATTATGATATTGATCTATTATTATTGATTTGTCCAACGGTCACTGGACAGCTGCTTCATTCTATCTTGAGTCTCTTTTCAATTATTCTTACGACCTTTTCGGGGGTTGAACCCAAGACTGGAACTCACAGTTACCGGGTTACCTTTAGAATACTGGCTTGTGATCCAATATTTCACATTTACTACCTCAGTCAAATCTCGTTATTTCGTTACTTTTATTTGTCACTATCGGTGATACCGTAATGTAAACGATAATCATTCAATTAGAACAATTATCCGTTCATATGTGTATAGTTGTGTGTTGTTCGAATAAAACAACATGGAATAAATATCTTAACTCACGGTCTTATGGATTTTTAATATTTAATTATGTTCATTGTTACAAAATGTCTGAGTTATCCCGTTTTTGACAGCCTTAGTTGAATTTTAGTTTGTCTTTTTTGGAATATATTCATCCTGCGCGGATGGCCTCGACATAGCCGCTTCGTCATAAGTTCTTATAAAATAGATGAATTGTGACTATCAGTGGAATCGAGGAAGCGTGGCTATCTGAATTCACTAGCGTAATGGATAGCGCATTAGGCGTTTGGAACGAAAAATACTGGGTTCGAGTACTTTTGTGAAATTTAACATGGATGAATTTATGTCCTGCTGAAGAGTAGTCCCGTATAGTATGAAAGTAGCGCCATGGATACTACTACTACTACTCACTATTCATTTATTTTATAGAACGTCTGACGAAGCGAATTTACCGCGATAATCTACTCATGATGCAAATATGATAAGTAGGACTGACCAAAATTCTGTCGACGGTTTGTTTATATTTATTCCCAAAGTTATAAAGTCCATTCCGGCAAAGTTGGTATTTGCTGCATGCAATTTTAACACTAGAAATTAAATTCTCAATACATTTTGGAAGAATTCAGTTAAAGTAAAGAAAATGTTATATAGATGCGTAAATAATCGTAAGGAAATTAAAAAATCTAAACTTGTCATATTGTTTTACAATTTTTCTGTCTATATAAACTTTCATTTCTATTCATAAATTGCTTAGTACTTTAATTTTTATTATACAATGCGTTTTTTAAGGTGCATGTTCGAGCGCATGATGATGCAACCAAAGGAATCTCGTTATTTCACGCACTCTTGTGCAATCGTCACTTTTTATACCTTTTAATTCACTTGATTGAAGAAGATAAATATATAATGGCTAAAGATAAATCACGTATTGCTTCTCTACTCTGTGCAGCTTTACAACCGAAAATGGATTATTTGACAAGGTCAGTTGAATTTTTCTTACAGTGTTAGTGTTATTCTATCAAAATCTCCTTGGTGTTACGATGTTCGTAGTTTGATCGGTTTTAAGATAGTTTCTATTACGAATTGAAATTAGTTAAGTAATTACTGAAATCCGAGAATTGCAGGAGATCTGTTTCATTCTGGTATGGTTTCTCAGTAGTGCTTACCCAAGACCTCTTCAGGGATGGGACCCATGATTCGGGGTGAAAGACAGAGGGTTACTTTTGGAATATAGAGTAATGATCCATCAGCTCACATTTACAACTTCAGTTAATTCGCCAATATCGCTTTACGATTGTTCATTACTACTGATAATATCGGGATGTAAGTGATAATTATTCAGTTAGAACATTAATCATTTTATTTGTACCATTGTATCTTGTTGCTGGTTATTTCGTCGCATTATTTACACATTCATGTTATGTTAATAAATAAAATAACCTTTGGATCAATTATTTTCAATTTTTCTAATTATTTACATTTGTAGTTATTATTAAGGAAAACAACTGAACTATTATTATTATGTAAACGAGTGTGTTTTATGTTGAAAACATAGTCTATATCAATTCCCTTAAAATAGATGATTGAACATGTAATCCACCTTGATTAGCTTGATATTGTGGTTTAATGTTTCCCAGTTCAGTTTATTAATTAAATACTTTCTCATTATGGAGGATTTATGGAGATTGTAGTACTTGCATAGTTGAAATCACGAGTCCATCTAAACTAGACCACTATTGAAAATGGACTGGACGGTTTTTCATTGGTGGTCTATGTTATGACTTTTGCCCTGCCAAATATCACGTGACAATATCGCCAACCAGGATACCGACTCGTATGACCTTGTACTTGTGCTAAACCAATGACACGTCATCCAGCACTGTCAGCCTTGCATCAACCTTAAATCCTTACCGATCCTTCTCACCTAGCCCCCTGCCTGTTGAGTTCAAAATTCAGTCTTAGCCTGCATTGTATGAATCGTTTATTTCAGACATACGTGATTTATATGCAAGCAAACCAGACCGCCTCAGACCATAAAACAGACAATAAGAATTATACTAGTTCAGTTCAAAAGTGGCTGTGAATGTGAGACTGTAACTTATAAACTAGAATTAACTTGAGAATAGTAAACCATATGATAATAACCAATAGGTCAAATGAGAGCTTATGATAAAAAGAATGTGAATATACATATAATCTATTTACTACGCAATTATCCAATATGAGTATATGCAATAATAGTCCATAAATAATTCCTAGTAGTTACCATTAGTTTATTCTTCGTCCGGATATAACACCCTAGCTTAAATCGACTCGTTATATCAACTATGAAAATACTACAATCTCCATAATTCCCCCATCCTGATAACAATCATGTACTGAATAGTTTCTGTTAGATTACACATGTTATGAACTAATTGTTACATATACTTTGTTATGTTATCATTCATATCAGTCAGTCATACGCAACTTTTAGAGCCTGGCATATATGTAAATCGTTTCAAATTATCTATAAAATGATAAGTGTAGTTTATATATATATATATATATATATATATATATATATATATATATATATATATATATATATATATATATAATATTTTTCATGTTTAATTATGTTATTTACTTTTGATAAAAATAATAATCCTGGAGTTCTAGTGGGAAGCCGTTACCAGTGGAGTTCAACCAGGTCTGTTGTGAGATATCAGCTCACTGAAGACAATGGTGTACGGTGGCGCGACTTCGTGGATTGGTTGAAGTTAGACATTAACACCGTTGGATGCCGGCTCAGTGGTCTAATGGTTAAGTGCTCGCGCGCGAAGCCAGTAGGTCCTGGGTTCGAGCCCCGCGTGGTGCGGGATCGTGGATGCGCACTGCTGAGGAGTCCCATACTAGGACGAAACGGCCGTCCAGTGCTTCCAGGTTTTCAATGGTGGTCTAGCTTCAACTGACTCATGATTTAAATCTGTGAAAATTTTATTTTTATTTATGTTACATTATTAGATTACTATCTAACAGTATTTTCAATGAAATACTTTAGAAAATTATTTTCTAGCTCATATATGACCTATTTTCATTGTCATTATTTGATCATGTTTAGTATTTTTTCTTTCATTATATTAACCGTGAAAGGTTGGATGTAGTTGGGTGCGTTTGACATTAAAATAATGAAATAAATCGTTTTTATAATCAATTAACAAAATTCGTATTTTGTTTTATTTTCAAGCTCATGACAAATAGTGTGAAACAGATCATTTTCAGCTGGTTTCTATGCGAAAAATTAAATTCTTAGTAAAAACACCAGTAATTTGCCAACTTTTTTCTGAAAAGAGCCTTTTGTTTTGTATTTTTCATTTCAGTGTTATGTTTGATTTAATGACCGATCTTTTGTACCAACTTCGTCTTCAAGGAGATGCTCGTTTAGCTACTGCTTTTCGACGAGCTGAAACAATTGTCGATAAAATCCTATCTAACTGGTTAACGTTCTTATTGTATAAGTTTATTAAAGTAAGCAAGTGCTATACAAACTCATTTTTAAAAATTTTCTATATGATAGATTGTATCTAACCTTAGATGTGGTATTAATTCTTCATATTATGTTTTGCTGCTAATAAAAGAATAATGGGAATATCACGTTATTTGAGACGTATTTAAAAACATTTAATTTTTGGACCCATAGTTTCATCATGTAATGTTGTGCTTGCATTCAGTGAACGGAACGGAATGGAATGTCTCATACAGATGCAGGTTCTCTACTGTGTTTACTTTGCGAACTAATGGATGGAATATTATAGAAAGGCAAATTAAATATCGTTTGCAAAATAATCTACATGAACTTTGGGAAAACTCTAATATGGACATAATCTTAACCTTTTATTCTTCAGTTGCAAATACTTTCCTTAGTGCCTGAATTTCAGCACAACTCCTTTCTTATTACTTTCATAGTCTTAATGTTAATTTAATAGGTTTCTCACGCCAGACCACTATAGTATGCAGTTAATTACCATTATTATTACTTAGTTAATGATTGCAATGGTCTTCTTCTATACAATGTATTACAACGTATGACTTCTTCTTCTTACTTCATTTAGAATAGCGTCGGCGAAAATTTATTTTATTTTTACCGAGCTCTTCTACAACAAATAAATATGGGTCCACGTGATGCTATAACTGGGAAAGCTAGATATACATTAGATAGTTCTTCATTACTTCAAACAGAAATGACTGGAAAACAGATTGTAAGTGTTCTAAATTCTGCACATTCACTTTGTATATCTATGTGCGTGTTTTATCATTGTTTGCTGTTATACATTTTTACATTTATTACTTCATTTGACATTTTTCACGCATTTTCTTTCATTCATATTGATTTGTTTTGCAATATTATTATTACTGTTATTTTGTGCACAAATTAACTCTATCTCGTCCTATGAATAATAATGATACTTTTTTAGACACTCTGTGTTGAAGATCCTCAGCAATTATTTGGTTTATCTACTTCATATATTTCTGTAAAAGTGCTTGATTGTGATACAATAACTCAGGCCAAAGAGAAAATTTTAGATGGAATCTATAAAAATAAGCCATATTCAAAACAAATTAAATCTACACAATTAGATTTAAGTAAGTGATTATCGCCAATTTCGATTGATCTCATTGTTATTTCATCCTAATATCCTCCTCTTTTTTATTTAATTCTATAGTTTGAAATAGCCTTTCTTTCAAATATTTTTTTCCGAATTACTTATGTTTAATTACTATAATGAAAGCCTAATAAATTGTTATATTTTAATATTGTTTCGTTTTAATGATTAGTTAGAAGTAGGACAGTGTAAAATCCTACTTCATTTTGACTTTTTTAATAATCCAGTAAGTTTCCCAAGGTTAAGGCGAGTGAATTAACCCATAAAACATTAGACTTTTAACTAAATAATGACTAGTAGTTTGGAATTTCATTCCTCTTCTATTTGTGTAGCTGGGTAGTATCATTAGCTCTCATCAAAGAGACTACATAAATCTGTTTTTGGTAAATACGTTACATCAGGTTATGCATGAAAAATGTAATATTATTGTGAATAAAAGTTTACATCTAAGAACACCGCGATCAAATTAGTTTTAAATAACTTAGTTCTAAACACAGTAGATAAACGTTCGATTATACAATAACTTTCAGTCCATGTTATGTAGTCACTGACTTGGATTATTTTCAGCCGGGCAGGATACTAAATTTAGTGTATCATTTAAAAGTATTTTTTGGGGAAAATTAACTTATTAAATGAATTACCAATTGCTATTAGACATACTATTATATTCAGATTATACAGTAGTAATGGTAGAAATAGCAGTACCATGTCATGATTTCTTTATTTTTACAATTATTTTTCTAGAGAGATTAGATGAACAACGAGTTATCGCACAAAACCCAGGTACGTATTTCTTTTATTGTTCTAACTTCGTTGGAAGATTGTGTAGTTTGTGAACTAGAATCATAAACTATATATATAATACTATGATAACATTTCAGTCACTTTTGTAAAACAAACCAAATCTCCGGCGATTGGTCACATATGTAATTGTTCTATTGTGACTTTACTAACATTTATCATTTACCAGATAGTGTTATTATATCATTGATGCTATAAGTGGATATAATAAAGCAGTTTAAGCTAATTTTATTTTATTTCATCAGCTTATTATTCATTGTTTTCACTTCAAAAAACAGGTAAATTTAATTTTATGCATGTTAGCGAGTATCGTTTTTAGTTTGTTTAAGTGTTTATACTGGATGAACATTCTTCCTCACATATATTATTATATATTCCTTGAATCTGTAAAAATGATTTATTTTGTCGTGTTAGAGAAAGTATTTCGTTATTTTTCAAATTACCATAATTAATTGTGCTCTTCATATTTGATTAATTAATACCATTGATAAAATTCCATTTTGTGATATCGACTTTTCCTCAACAGCTCGTCTGCGTTATTAATTGGATTTATAAAATAAGACAGACTGATTCACTGAAGAGGCCTTATTTTTGCAAATGTATAGTGTTTTTCACATTAACAATCTAATCTATGTCTATTGAGAATAACAATAATTTACTAAACATTATAACAACAGATCGAAATCAATGACAGCACAGAAAGTTTTTATTCTTATTAAGGTGAAAATGTGGTTGTTCATTACTTGAATGTTTGTAGAAGTTCGATAAAGATTTATAAGTGTGTATTGGCTTGTATTGCCAGCGTTGTAGTTAAGCTGTTAAGGCCCTTGACTTTTAACCATTTAGATGCAGTATTAAACCACCCTTCCATATACTTCGGTTTGCTCAATCAGCTAGTATTACATACCTTTTGCTTAAAGTAAATCTGAAAGTCAAGTACGCAAAACTATCCTAGGTAAATGAGTTGAATTAAATGATTTGTGTAACATAATTACATAAAATTTTGAAATTAAAGTGACATGGTCAATTAGAGATATGCAAATGCTTAGAATTAAAGAGTCAATACTAGGACAATAAGAGAAATTAAGGGTGGTAACTTTGGAATATTATAGTTTAATGCCATGTTAGAATAAGAGGTTAAATAAATTTATTTTATAAACATAGCTAGTTCTGATTTCTCTAAGTGTATAACGAAATCTTCTACAATGCAAAGCAGATAGAAACTCATTGTTTTTTGCAGGGACTAGATTTCTTCACTGAATCACTCTTTTTCTTTAATGTTTCAATCAGTGTTTTTTTGTTTGTCTAACTAGTTCTCTTGTCATTCTTTCCTAGCCTTAAATATTGTTGTTGTAATCATTGTTTTTCTGTATTGTATATTTCTATTCTAATTTCAAATTGCTTAATATCTCTGAAATTCATAAAACAGATTAAATAATAACATGAATTTATTTAATTAACTTAGACTTTATTTCAATATTATTTATTGTTTCACCAGTCTAGTTAGTAGGAGTGTTAATAGTGGTAGTGATGGTTGTAAATGGTATTTTTATATATCACTATTCAGTTAATTGTTGCATTACAAGATAAATTTTATGGTTTATTTATTTTTATAGAAAATGAATTATTTACTGGTCAAACTTTAACAGATTGGGACGTAAAGATTCGTTCGAATTCATCAAATTCTATTGATCATGACAAGTTACCATTCCGATTGAACTGTATTGCAGATTATCATGTATGCAGTAAATTTTACGTTATTCACATATACAGTAAATGTAAAAGATGTATTTCACTTTACATTTTTTTAATTTAAAATGTATTAGCACACTTTTGTCTTAAACCACTGTGGAGAGTAAAGCAGTTGATCTTTCTGATCAATTCAGTTATTTTAGAAGTCTCATCGGCGTTGATGGATTAGTGCATGACGAAATTTCTGCCTAGTTTCAAAACGTTTGGTCGACTTTTGCCAACTTATAACGTAGGCACGATGTCTGTCTACCAACCGAAGAACGAGTATGCTGCTCAGAAGTTCGTTTTGTATTACTCTTTAGATCCTAAATATCCTCCATGAAAATAGAAGATATGCACAGTCCGAAAGTTTTGGTTGCATATTTCTTCAAACCATTCCTCGTGTCATGGAATGACTGAATAAGCTATGTCGAGGTTAGATATAGGTCAGTTAGTAAGATGATAAATAGGGGTTGCAAATCTCCATCAACTGAGGCGGTTAGGACATGTACGACACAGGCCCAACAGTTGTCTGTCTGACCGGATGATGTTAATCGATTTAGGAACACTTTGGCAAGAAGCTAGACGTGCTCAAACTAAGACGTGGCATTGGCTCATAAAGTCACTAACTATTGGTCTGAGCCACCCTATTACCTCGGGGTTCGCGCGATAGCCACGTTCAGTAGTTGGAAATTTAGGGTAAAACAGCTCAGGATCGGTTACACTGGCAAAATTGTATCCAAACTTTATCTTCCTCTCGATCATGAATTCCAGGTTTCCATCATACATAATTCTCCATTTAAAACTCTATTCTCGCTGTTCCGTTTTCCTTAACATCACTGCTGCTACATTATTTCAGTTTTTGCCACTCACCGTATGCTAATGTGTAATTGCAGCTCAGGCTAACATACATCTGTACTCAGCTCTACGTTTATCATAACAAACTAATTGATTTTTAATGTGAAAACTAAAAGTTTTGTACATCTATAAGTTTACTTGATCATGCTGGGCCTGTTATGTTGGCCATGCACAACGAATACTTCCCAAACGCATCTAAGCACATTACCCAGTATGAATTTGAAGAGGAGAATTCCAAATGATCAGTAGCTCAATACATAAATACTTTACCAACTCTAGGCACGTTGCCTCAAAGGAATCGTTTTTCAAAATAATCTACACAACCAGAAGAATCGGCAATCTAATAGAAGACTTATGGACTGGTGAGGCGTTGGCTATTCACCAATTCATGTCTGAAGCAAGACGGGTAATCTCTCATCCTTCCATAGCCCTATTGGTTCTATTCCAGTATATTTTAATCTTTTTTGAGATTTTTACTTTGCGCTTTTTTAAACCGTAGTCAGTTATTATAATCATCCTTGAATATTTTTCATGATTGTTATTCAATCGTTATTATGACCTTTACGTTTTTCATTTCTTCATATCTGTTAAATGGACAGTTATCTCTCATATTTCTGACCCTTAAACTATTTTCATCATTCCGCTATTGTTGTCTAACCTCTTGTTCATTACGATACCGTTTTTTGATATTTGGAATTTCTGATCAATGTATGATGTCATCCGTTCTTCTATAGACTTATAAATTTATCAAACCACTATAACTATGACTGTACAGCTTAACCAAATGTTTTTGTCAAAATAAAAAATTTTCCTCCCTTTTAACAAAATTTCACACAGAATATACAACCTGTTGTTCATGAGTTTCCATCTACAACAAGGTCATTCATACACAAACGAGTGCATATTTTTAAGAAAAATTATGTATTAATTTTGGTATGCTGTCTTTTTTCAATGTGCACAATTTTATAAGTAAATAGAAAATTACAATTTTTTTTCTTCTCAAAATCACAGAATTCTAATTGTTATGGTAATTGTACTTGTAACTACATATATTTTTCAACATACCTCTAATAAAAAACTATGTATGTTAAAAGGTTTAAGTTTCTTTTGTGAAAGAGAAGTACGAAAGTTACGTTATTTTAATTCATCCATCACTGTTACAAAGTTGAATTATTAGTCATTTATGCTTGAATGATATTTCATCACATATTACTAAATAAGCAAATAACAATAAGATAATTTCTTTTTGCCGGTTTATCTGTTTATACATGCCAAAAATCAGTGATGGTATTTGCACAGTTAATGTTTCTTGATATTGTTTGTTTGTGTATATATATCTATATATACGGACCAGCACTTCTGTTTCGTAGAAAACTTTGATCAATTTCAGTTTGAATGGTTTTTTATATAATGGAAATTAATTAATTATTCAGGTTGTAATGCAGACATTGAATGTCAGTCTGAACTAAACCTAACAATACATATCGTTTTGCCTGATTCCTATTTGATAATTCATGATTCCTGTCGGTCAGCAATAAGTTTGAGAATTGGTTCCCGTATCAGAGAGATGCATCCATTTCACATATTCTTTCGTTCTTTCTAAGTGTTTTTTATTACACTTCCGACTATTTTCTATGTTGTTAAGTTCCATTTACCTGTTTTTTATGTGAATTTTGACCAACTTGAGTCAATACATATTTGCACCATATTATAGGTTGTTAACGATTGACTAGGTTACAAGTTAAGATGTCTTATCATAACGCTTCTTCTAATCTATTTTCTGTTATTAGCTCAAAGACAATGCACATGTTGCACTGGTTGCTTGTGAATTTACTAAATCCAATCATAGTCAGTCCATATCGAATGGATTACAATGTAAGTTTATCCTTTGATTTTTGATATACTGAATATTTTGTATTTAACGTAAGTTAAATAATAAATCTGTTTATGACTAGGACATTTACAGCCAAGTAAGCTATGTTGTAAAAAACGTCCTCGTTTGAATTTACTTAGAAAACTAGTTTTTATATCTACGATGTCACAAATATTCATTGTACAAACTGTCAAAACGAAGATAGTTTCATCCCAAACAGTACTTGCTTATGGTGGGTGTATTTTATAAGCATTTAATAGCTTTAAAAATAATTTAAAAATCCGCATGGAAACCTAAATTATCGATCTGCTAGGTTTAGTACCCAAAATTCAATAGCTTGGATTCTGCCTAACACTTATATATTGATGTATGTGAAAATAATCTAACTTCCATGTCCAAACATGAATTATTTATCCTTGACGGGGTTCCGAGCAAATACTCGACAATTTCTATAATAGGAGGAAACAACTATCCAGCACTCTCTGCTTCTCGACAATCCTCCGAAATTGATGTTAATTTGTGAAGAGAATCAACTACAAAATAGACTATTCTACACACATATCTCTAAATTATTTACTCAGATGTTCGATTACTGTATGATAAATACTTTTTTGCTAGTTCATACTTCAAACGATGAGTCGTTGTTATGTTTTTTCCTAGTGACATTGTCGTAGCTAGAATAATATTTAGCTAAAGTAAGAACTTTAAGTAGTGCAATTAAAAGATCTCATTACTTAACATTCGTCACCATCTATATACAGTGTGAATAAACGAATATTTATAAGTAGAGATGGACGGTGGCTAGCGTTTCGTTCTATTTGAGACTCGTCAGCTGCATGTACCTGCATCCCAGAGTTGATGCTCACTCCAGGACTTGAACCCAGTGCCCTTCTTTTTATAGGACAAAACACGCGTCCTGGATTCCGTTGCTAACCACTGTTCATTTCTGCTTATAGTGCTCGTAACTTAAGACAATATTGAGGCAATCCGCACAGAATGAACATATGTCAAAAACGGATTGATCAATTTCAATCCTAAATATCTGTGAGAAGATTCAAATACCCAATACAAATGAATTAAACTAACCTTTATTTCGAAACCTATACAAAGTATTTTAATAGAAATATGTATAGTATATAACGTAAAAATAATGTTTTTAACCGAAACCAATGGAAACGAATAATTAAACTTTACATACTTTCAACATACCATGAAGTATTCATAAGATGATTGAAACATTTAGATAAGAGGAGTTTTATAACATGAACAGGAGAAAAAAAAGAACCACACTGTCTTCATGGATTGCGTTAGTATTACTAAATAATAAGTTACATTAATCTAGACAATAAAATGAAGAATAGTGAGACAATAGAGAGAAGAGTTTAAAGTACATCAATCATAATTTCATAAAATGAAAAAATTGAAATCAAAGGAGAAGCTCATGAAATGATAAAATTCTATCATTGAATTATAATAAATTTATAATGATACTAATAGATTGACAAATGTCTTATTATATATTTAGGTTATTTACTGTAAAGATTGTTAAATTTTGTAGTTGGATCATAGACCAGTTTTAGTTAAGCAGTTATTGAAAATCAGAAAGAACTGGACAACTATTTCGTTATAGTTTGGGACGTCTCAGAAGTGTGTGTTCACTCTTGTTAGCCATACATTAACTCTATTTGGAGAGTAAATGACTTATTACTTTCCATATCCTTCTATTATTTGTTAATTGACTTTCAGTCATGTTTATTCTTGTGTTCAATACTTTGTACATAAGCATGTTATTTTATAGGAAGCAAAGACCTCTTCTTCTGATATCAGGTAGTGAACGTTCATCGACTTAGATGGTTGAAATATGTATTACATATGCCTTACTATGCCTACCTCGACACACGATGTCTGTTGGTGTGAGAGGTTGTTGGAAGAAAGCTACGGGTGACAAAACCGAGACATAGTATCAGTTCATTAAGGCATGTTCATATAAACAGAGCCGTGTTAGTATATTTAGACCACTCGATGGGAGTCTAGGTGATTATTAGAGTCAATTGTTGGGAAAGAAACTTGTTGAAATACCTGGTGTTGAGAATTCTATATTACACCAAAACATAATATTGAATAAAGCCATAATAATAATAGTATTAGTAATAATAATAGTGTGAAACGCCTCAGAATCTGTTTTAATGATACTCATTCATTCATTCTTTGTCTTCCTTTAAATCCTTACATTTTTTGTTTCACGAGTTCATTTTCTCTTCTCGAACTATATCACCTGTACCTGATCATTTCTGCTGCCACTAATACTGTTACTGATCCTAATACTCTGGGGGTTTTCCTGATAATCTCAGTTTTCTGTGTCATTGTGGTGTGGCAACCTGGACCAATATATTTATATGCTAGGTTCAACGTTACATCTGAGTAACTGATATCATTTCATTCGAGGGAATATGATAATTATTCTGTCTGATAGGCAGTCATCACCACTCAGTCATATTGTATCACTACACATTATCAATCGATCGGCGCATTTAATTCATTCATTTAACAATCTCCAGAAGTGTTTTCAGTAAAAATCAGAAAAGAATAATTCATAAGTGTCGACAGCGATAGGATCACTGAATAGATACTGAACAATGAAACTTTGTTATCAGCAGTAAACTTTTCACAGTCCAATATTGATAATTTCCATCTTATTGCTCCCAAATTAAATTAATCAACTAATCACCGTTCAAACTTCATGAGGAAAATACTTTTTATTGTTTAAATTGCTGGCTGATCTTATTTTGGCTACTGTTAAAAACCCGAAAGCACTGGATAGCCGTTTCTTCTTAGCATAGGATTACTCAACGTTCCTGGTCTACAACCACGCATCCGGGACTAAAACCCAGGACTTTCGGTTCAGCGTGAGAACCGTTAACCTCTAGACCTCAGACCAGGCTTCCAAATTTTCACTGGTGGTCTAGGTAATATTAATTCCTGATTTAAAATATGGAGATTCTTGTCTGCACTATTAACCGTGTACTAAAAATACTATTAAATAATATATTTGTAATATCCCAATGAGTAGAAAATTAGATTTTCTACTCATTGGGATATTACAAATATATTATTTATTTATAACAATCTACCCAATGCTCAATTGATTCGAAATTATAAAAATACTATTGTTTGCAGAATACTACTCATTTGGAAATAAGTAAGTTTCGCTGAAAAAAATCAATGTCTATTTTCTGCATCAAACATTAGTTTGCAAGTAACTTGGTTCTGATATCGGGAAAATTCTGTTATTAGTATTGTGTTTAGATTAGTTGAACTTATTTATTTGAACTATTATTATATGAAATATTTTCTACGTTTCATAACACACAACTGCATCTCGACATATCTGAAATTTACCAGTAAATTTCTTAGAAGAATTATTCATTACGTTTTACTATAAATCTACCTATTATCATAGGACAATTTGAACAAGTTCTACAGTCAGGTTTACTGCATATGATTTTATAGTTTGCAACATGGGAATTTATAGGATATATCATTCTCATAGATGAAATGTTTTTGGATCATTCTTCTGTATACTAATTCGATTTGTACACTAAAAAGCCTCCTTATTTTCCAGAGAAAAATGATTTTTCTTCTAGTATAAATACTTGACTATTATTCTACCCTTACATGGAAAATCTTGTTGTAAGGATTGTAAAGAAGCTTTAAATTAGGCAATTTGAAGCTAGACTACTATGGATAACCTGGAAGCACAAAGCCTATTAGTCTCGCTCGCGAACGCTTAACCATTAGACCACTGAGCCGGCATCCAATAGTGTTAATGTCTAACTTCAACTAATCCACGGAATCGCTTCACCGTACACCACTGTCTTCAGTGAGATGATATCGAAATAACTAAAATCTCCACTAAACCACTTCTGATTTAAATTAGGCCTTTATATTTTAGATTTCGAGTTCTCTTATAAACAATGAAGTAGTTGTGTTAATAACTAAAATCTCCACTAAACCACTTCTGATTTAAACTAGGCCTTTATATTTTAGATTTCGAGTTCTCTTATAAACAATGAAGTAGTTGTATTAATCACGTCACGCTTCATTAGTTTATCTTCAAAATACATTTTACTAACTTCAGATATACATCCATTTACCTGTATTTGATCATGTTATGTTTTCATTATTTAATTCATTTTCACCTAGTTTGTATAGAATGATGTCACTAAATACGATTTTCTCTTCTTTAATTTACTAGCTAATGCTTTTCAACCTCAATCAACAGTAGCTCAAAATTCATGCTTTTCCGTGGATGAATTTGTTCATATACCCCCTATGTCTCGTCCACTACCACCAATCTCTCCTACTGGTACTACAAGGTCAGCCAAAAATAATACTGACCAGCTAATAAGTATCGCAAACCCTTTACTTAATGCTCATATTAGCAGTGATCGATTATATTTGTCGAAATTTTCTACTCCATCTGATGAACCTTTTTGTTTTCGTCCAGTCGGAACTCCTGATCCTAAACTTTGGTATCATATAGAGTGGACAGGAAACCATAATGACAATATCATGGATGCTAGTGGAACTATCAAGAAATCCATTAAACGTCTAGATAAAAGATCTGATAACTTAGAGCGTTTGTTATGCACATGCATTGATAAAGTTGACGATTCCCATGCAAATAATTCTTTGGGTAATAAGGGCGATATTTCTACACGTGATTTAAATCAAAATGAAGCGACCAAAATATGTTCAGAATGTACAACACGTCACCCTCTTTTATCGCCTTCTGAGGTAAATTCTTTAAAGAATCATGCTGCCTTACTATCGGTCAATAAATCAAAACGCTTTAAAAAGGGGAAGAAACATCATCACAATCGCTTGAATTATAGGAGAGATACATCAGAACTTTCAGTTTTCAAAGGTGAAAAAAATGCATTAATGCCATCTGAAACTTCGAGAAGTTTAGATCGTCTTATGGAAACGTTACCAAAAGAAGTGTTCTTTAATCGACTTTTGTTAACACGCGTAAGTTTTATTAGGTTAATGCTATTTATGTGGAAAAGACTTTCCGCTTGGAAATCTAAATGATGCAGTTCGCCATACTAATTGTTATTCTTTATAGTTACTGTTGAAATTCCAACCTGCTAATTACCAAAATAACATGGTGCCATAGCTTACTCAATTTTAATCCCACTGTTCACTGGCTCTAACTTCGTACATTCTTTCTCTTTTTTATAGTATACCTATTTATTGGTCATCAACTAGAAATGTCTTCGTGACTAGATAGGATGTGTGTATTCAATTAATAGACAATACCTTCAGTAACATTTTTAAGTCATTAAAATAAATCCATGTTGAAATTTCAGATTGTAAGATGGACATAGCAAAAATAACCATTGTTTTTATTTGCTTTAGCTCATCCCAAGCAGATGACATGGGCAACTATTTCTTGGGATTTACTATAATTTTATATTATATTGAACAATGTTTACTTCATTAATCAGATAAAAGTTCATAATTTAAGTTTTACACCGAAATTTCTCGTATAGGAATAAACTTATTCTCATTAAATTAAACATATTTGTATCAAACATATAATTGAAATATAATTCGTCTTATAAATTTATCTCTTGATTAACATATTTGTGGCATGTCTGACAATGGTAATTACAACCTGAATTTAAATCCTTATTTTTATTACGCATATTCTTTATCCGATAAGTTTAGTTATGCTGGTCAGCGTTTTCTTAGTATGGATTTTTTTCCAAGATGAGGTTGCTGACCCCCAAAACCAACCTTCCTTTCTTACTCGTGCTTGGGATCGGCAGTATCCTTAGAAGGGCTCGTAAGAATTATATATATATATATTATATATTAGTTGAATACGTCTTATACATGCATTCACATATTTATTCAGTGAACCATTGTTTCTACCTTCTAAAATCGGTTGTATTAGGATTTTGGAGAAGATTCAAGTTAAGGGTTAATACTGTGATCATATCATGATTCCGATCATTTCAGTCATGCTAATATTTATTTCAAATCAATTCTATAGTCATAACACACATCTTTCCCAGTTAAGGAAACCACGTACTTTGGTTTGGGCACGCAGAAAGTATCAGAGCTCACACACAAATAAAATGATGATTACTACTGGAGAAATTATTCTTGTTTCAACTGGCTTTCAGACAAATCACGTTCACAATTATTTGAAAACATTCGTTTTTACTTTTTTATACCATGTCACCTATATACTTTCTTTTATTCTCATTATGTGTATCGTTTTCTTTTTCAACTTGTATGACAGCTCGCCTATGGTGGAAACCGTGTCCTGTCTAGACGAGCTCAAGTGACTGGTTAGTCAAAATTTTAATGCTACCACCAAATACGAATTGTGAACCAACCTTCCTGAAACCACGTATGCCATTCAAACGGGTATCTTTTAGCGTCCCCATACTAATACAGATCGGACAACAGATAAGGTTGACTATGTCTTTAGACAACCTTAACCTCGATGTCTGTTGTCGATCCACAACCCGTATTCAAGACTGGCAAATACTCCAAATCCGCTTCATCTGCCGCTTCTAAAAGCTCGGTTTGCATGTGTTTATTCAGGCACTCTGTGGCATCTTCTGGATTTTTTTGGCGTCGGTGTCACACTAAGCACTAGGGCAGAGGCACCGTTCATCGATTGGATCTCCGATAACAGTCGATTATGTGCTGCTAGATTAGAAAGCTCCATTGAAGTGAGAAGACATCGGTGTGATAAACTATACCGTCTCGTCATCTCCGTCTACACTCCGACAGATTACAGCCCGAATACAATCAAGTGTTTTTACCACCAGCTAACAGTCCTTCTACAGAAAGTGCGTTCGACAGATATTGTAGTACTAGCCGGAGACTTGAATGCTCAGATCGGGTATCTAGGCGCAGCAGAGAATCGTTTAGGTGGTCGATGGGGACTTGTTGGTCGCAGGTCTGATGACGGTAACTGTCCGCTGAGAATTCGTTTCTGGCTAGTACTAACTATCGGCACAGCCATCGACGATATGCTATTTGACGTCCTCCCTCTGCATCTCAAAACTGGACTCAGATCGATCACGTCACAATCAGCTACCACTGGCGTGGTTGTGTGCAAGACTGCTGTCCCTTCTGGAGTCCTTATCGTGACTCTGATAATGCCTCTTTTGCTTTAATTTTAAGTTTCAGTGGCTAACAAACTCAACGCGCTTAACTGATTGCAGCTTCTGTTGCAACTCACTATCAAAGCAAGCTAGGTTCACTCCGCGGGAAGGTACAGATAAGCACTAACTGCATTTGCATAACGCAATGGAAATGGTGAGTAAAGTCGCATTAAGCTTTACGAAACGTCCCGCTCATAAGCACTGAATTTCTACAGGATCAATGCAGCTCGTTGAAGCAAATCGGTCTACTCCGGGTAATCGTGAATTTGACTATAAACCAGGACTACTATGTAATGAAATTGGGCAAAGGTTGTGTAAGGACCGAAAAGCTTGGTGCTCGGTGCGTGCTAATGAGTTGGAAGCAGCAGCTGGATTTGGTAACCCCCGAAGGCTCTTTCAACTCATCTGAGTAACTGGCACCAAGAAGTTTAGTGTGAGCGAAACAACCTGTGAAGATGATGAGATGCCACTCACTAACATCTATCGACGTTTTGGACTACGGACAGAGTTTTTCGAGGAGCAGTTCAACTGGAGGGCTGTCCTGGAAACATTGATCAGAATCCCCTACCCTCCGAGGCCTGTGTCGACTGATTCACCGATTGAGGCGGAAGTTCACAAAAAACTCCAACTCTTAAAGCTCTACAAGTCACGGGACCAGATGACCTACCTCCTACCCTTTTATAGGGTCTATGTAATAACTATCGAGGGATAAGTCTACATCCGATCGCGTCCAAATTATTGGCTTCCGTTATACTTCGTAGATTGTTCAAAACCTGAGAAAGATTGACTCGCGAGGAGCAATCTGGTTTTCGTTCTGGTCGAGAATGTATTAATCATTATCATATCACCCTCCACCAAATGTTAGAACACCGTCATACATATCATAGGCCAACAATCGTAGTGCTACTTGACATCAGGGGTACCTTCAATTCGTTGGATAGGACTGTTCTCTGGGACTGTCTATTGGAGAAGGATGTGTCTGAAAAGTTTATTAACATCTTGAAAGCCTTATATACAAACACCGGTAGAGTGAAGACATACAACCGCCTCTCTCCATTGTTCCATTTACGCAGTGAGGTTAGACAGGGTTGCCCAATCTCACCGTTCCTCTTCAACATTGCTATCGATGATCTTCTGGAAACAGCTCTGATGGCTGTAGTTAATGGTAGTATGGATCTGTTGTCTGGAGAAAAACATTTCGACCTTGATTATGCGGATGATATTGTCTTACTGTGCGATGATACCCAAGCCATGCAATACCCATTCAAACAGTTGACAATTAGTGTCCGTATGTATGATATTTGCTTTGCACCTTCTAAGTAAGAACTAATTTTATAAGACTGTAGATGTAATACGAATGTCGTCCCAGAGAATTCCACATCGTGCTTTATTTACGGACGCTAGAACTGGTTGGAAAAGCGGAGAGTTGGTCAGTGTATGATATGATGTGTTTTTATGAGGGAAAGCCGTACAGAACTAGCCTCTGTCGGTCGTTCACAATCCTGTGGTTAGAGTCTTAGAGATGGTGTCACACAGTGTCTTGAAACGTTACCAGACATGACTCAAAGTATAAACCTGTGGTGATCTCTCTGTAACCTTCTTTTACTTTCTTTATAAAAGTGAGAGTAACTTCTTTAACTAAAAAAACCTTTCTGGTTGTATCTTTCCTAACTGAACTGCTTCTTCTATTATTTTTATTATCATCACTTCATTATTATTCACTCACATAGAGTTCTATCCGTCTTTTTCTTTATTATGTCCACCTTCCTTTCTCTATCTCTTCACAAATTCATTTTTATTGCGTGGCGCATACATATTTTGGTGCCCGTTTTTGAACCGGTACTTATGTGTTCAAATTAATACATTAATATATTTCCAGTCGTGTTTTCGTCCGATATTTTGATACTCTTGAATTGATCCACGACTGTTGTTACTGACCATGAATTTGATCATGTCGGTATACCTATTTGATCTATTCATTCCTATTTTATTGGATCGTTTCATTTTAATGAAAATAATTTTTATGACTCCAGTATATTTATGAACTTAGTCGAACAATCTCAATTTTTTCTTCTTTAGCAAATAGAAAGTAGTAAGGCAATGGGTATGAGAATCAATTCAATTTGAAATGGTTTGGATTAAATCAACTTGTATCATAATAGATATATCGAGACAATCTGTACAGAATACCCATATATCAACCAATACTGATCAAATTTCAGTCAAAAACATCAACGTTGTGATAATTCAAACCATTCCACATTGAATTAACTATTAGTAATAATATATTCAAATAATTTCTCACTAGCATAGTTGTACACTGTTGTTAATCCAGATCGAAATGAAATTCTCTTGACTTTTTAAGTAAATCTTCTTTAAAAAAGTAATATATGGAAATATATCTGTACACAACTCCGGTTCTAATCATTTATATTTTAAAGCTTTAATTTTTAGTCATGTTATAAATATATTTAATATCTGCACTGTTTATCTCATCTACGTTTCACTCTTTTTTGGATTTTGTCTAATATCAAGTTATCTGTCACAAAATATATGGATAAATTATTCGAAGTCATGTTCAGCAGCGTTGTACAGTCGCATAGTTTACCAGCTCCAATTAAATATCTTTTTGATTTTTTGGATGATAAAGCAATTAAACTAGGCGTACACGATTCGAAAATAATTCATGCTTGGAAATCTAACTGGTTAGTGATTGTTATTATTATTGACATTGGTTTAACCGTATAATTTACAGTGATAGTGTTTCTATAAAGAGCTCATTTAACATGTTTATGAACTATACAAATCAAAATATCGTAAATCTTGTTCCTAATACTACTTTTAATAATTAATAGTCATCTGTTTGTATGCATTATGTAAACAATTAAATGTAACATTAAAATTTTTAACTTCATATAAAAATTCAATATAATGAACAGTTTGACAGGATTTGAGCGTCATTTATTTAGAAAACACTATATGTAAAAATTGTATTTAATTTAATCTCAGTGACTGAGTTTGATCACTTCTGTGAAGCAGTTCAAATCAGTTGGTCGAGTTGAAATGTTGGAAGTATGTAAATTTCAATCACTGAAATTATTTCAAATATAATTTTTACACTTACTTACTCGCAATTGCCAAATTTTATAAAAATGTTATTTCATGTTAAATGTTTTCTTAATGAACGTTTTATCATTTACAAGTTGAAAACTCAGCTCTAATTTATGGAATACCATGTATTCATGAGTTAAAATGTTACATAATTAATGCTGTGTATAGATGGGTACTGTATGCTGTGTCATTCTAAAGTTGTTATTACTTGTCGTTTGAATGCTTATTGTCTTGGCTCTTTTAATGCTACTTTTTGTATCTGGCCGTCGCTGATTGTTATGTCGGAAACGCTTATCAATTATACTCGGAACGAAGGACCTCTGCAATTCCCACGACGCTAAATTAAGAACACAAAGGCTTGTATAAGTGATGATTTGTTAACCCCAAAACACGACGACGACGACTCTAGAAGAAAATACACTCATTTATATAGTGATTGTACACACACTTTGATTAATAATGATGGAATCACATACATGGATTTCGGGAAATTACAAGAAGATAAAGTTACTTTTTGTTTGCGAGTGATATCACTGACCACTCAATCCATTTTCGAATTTATTATACTATTATTCTTTTCCTTGTCTAGTATACAAATGCGTTTCTGGAATCAATTTATTACCAATCTGGACTATATATTTGATGTTCCTTTATTACGTAACACTGCATTAGAACGTTCGTTTCATGCATTCAGTCATGCTATGACCTATGCATGTGCACCAAATAAAGAAAAAATAACTAAGGATTCGTCTTGTGTAAAACTGCTTTTTGCTCCAGATATTTCTGTAAGTCTAAGATAAATTTTATGATAAGTATTGACTTGTACGCGAAAAAATGAGACAAGCTTTTTAAGTATAAATATTGCACGTCTTATGTAAGTATGACCTTCTTTTTGCTATGATATTAATGTTCATTGATGACTCTAGTTTTTTCATTTATAATTCATTCTTTTGATCAGCAAGATGATAACTAATTTCTGGATGTGATGTGTTACAAAATTGAACCCTATATAAATAGGAAAAGAATGAGATTGAATTAGCAGGTTTTGTGCGGCTGGACACTACCCCAAGGCGTTGCACACTGACGCCAAAATTCTACCTGTCCCTCCATGGTTTTTTAGTGTAAACCATTGCTTGATGAAACAACCCGTTTCTAAAAGGCGTAATGTTTCAAGTTTTGTATTTGATATTTTTCACTGCTTCTGGTTATAGTTACGGTTTTGTGAACGTACTTTTAATCATGAGTTTGTGATTAGTCCCACACAACATACAAGTAAATACTTAATTCACTGAAAAAGAAATCCATTTGTAATAATATTTAATCAATGTGTTAAAATTAAATTATAGGGGTAAATATTGAAGAAAATGTGGAAAGGTGAGACATTTCGCTTACAATCTTTAAATCTTTAAACGAACCAATCAGAAGAAATATAAACAGACTGTACAAAACGTAGATAAAAATCTCTTGATAGTCTGCGATTATAGGCTCTTCTGTTTTATACTTTCAATATATGCAACACGATTTTAGTATTTTTATACTAAAACACAAACTTTACTCATTACAAAACTTGAAGAACTTTCACTGTAGTTAACAAGATTGTACAAGTTAATAATTCAGTACATAATGTTTTATTTGCCTGTTAATACATCAGATTACAATGAATTGAGTAATATTAAAGTAGGAAGCTTGTTTTGTGTACCTGTTGACTGACTAACCTTAATCTATTATGGATATATCTGTAAGGAGTCTCTTAAGACTAATTGGTTTTTACGATCAACATTTAGAGTTACTTGTCTTTTTCACTCTTTAGAAATGCTATTATTTTTTCGATTAGTCTGTTTATTTTCTTAAATACAATATATCTCAATTGTAAACTATCATTTATTTTTCCTCTCTTTATTTCTTGCTTTTCCATTTAGCAACAATGGGATAGAGTGCATAATTACTATCGTGAAATTAAAGCTTTACCTACAGTTGAACAAGAAACAATGAATAATCTGCTACGACAACATTCTCAGAATCATTCTACAGATTTCAATGTTTCTTGGGCAGTTTTTGAATTGTATACAAAATATGTTAGAAATTATCAAGATATGGTGAGTAGAATTCATTAAATTCATGAAATTCATGAAATCAACTATGAAAACACTACAATCTCCCAAAATTCCAATACTCATAATAATCATGAGCTCACTAGTGACTAGCTTCAAGATGAAATTCCTGGAGCTCTAGTGAGAAGCCGTAGCGAGTGGAGTTCAATATGTGTCAAGTGTGAGACATTTATTCACTTCAGATCATGGATCGATTGAAGTGAGACATTTACACTATTGGATGACAGCTTAGTGGTATAGAGATTAAGTGTTCTCGTACGAGACCGTAAGTGCTGGGTTCTAGTCCTGTGTGGGGACCCATGACGCTCATTACTGAGGAGTTGAATAGTAGGACGAGATGGCCGTCCAGTGATTTTAGGTTTTCAACAGCGGTCTAGCTAAGATTGACTCATGAATTCAACTGTGAAAATTATTGTTTTTGCATGCTTTAATTGCCCGTATCACATAATGGTTAAAATTAAATGGATAGTGGATTCTTAACTGATTGACTAACGCTATGTAACATTTAGTAACAGTATGTATTTCATTATTTGAAATCTGAATATATATTATATGAAAAGAACTAGTCTATGCATAACCGAACGCCTTTACACATAGACACAAAATAATGATTTATGCAGACTTAAGAGTCATCAAATTTTACTATCTCATTGACTTCGTTTGGGATAGGTTAGACCGATCATTTAGAGATTTCAGTTAGTCATCTTAAATCTTCCATCATTTAAAACTATTTCAATGTAATCGATCAATAATAAAACAACTCTTGTCCAACAAGGTTTTTGTTACCTGTATAGTTGCTCCACACAAATGAACTCTGATATTTTTATTGTAAGGAGCCTCCTGTATGATATCTGACTCTCTTGAAAATCAATATAAAATTATTTTCTTGCAGAATATATTTATAATTGTGAGTTTAAGCATTTCACTGATTTTGGGACTAGGTTATTGCATCAAATCATATAACTATGGTAATGATTGTAGCTACTTAGATTGTTTTTATTGGTCATCAAGGATCAACAGGCTGGATTCGGTAGAGATCAATCATGTACCGGCCAAATCGCCATACTATGAATCATTGTTGAACAATTGATTGCATGGAACTCATCACTATACATCAACTTCCTTGACTATCATAGAGCGTTTAGGAGCGTGTATAAGAGAACCCTATAAAACCTTCTTCGACACTATAATGTATGTGGTCGTCAATATCATATGGAATTCATACAAGGAACTACACTGTAAAGTCGTTCATGGTAGAAAGCTGACAGGTGCATTTCAATGGTGCTTACTCCTACTTTTTGTCTTCTGGTGGTTGACTGGATTATAAAGACCTTTAATTTTCAGGGAAAACATGGACTACAGTAGACAGTTTGGGTGTGGCTAAACTATTCGGACATTACAGATGACCTAGCTTTTACAGCTCATACACACCAATGAATGCAGGTGAAGACAATCAGTGTATCAACAGCCTCTACATCACTAGGTCTCAAAATACACAAGGGAAAAAGCAAGATCTTGAAATACAATACAGCGTGCTCAAACCAAATCACGGTTGTTGGAGAAGCTCTGTAAGAGGTGGAAGTTTCATGCAACTGGCCAGTATCATGTATAAATAAGGAGAATCTGACACAGATGTGAAGGCACAGATTGGCAAAACAGGGGCAACATATTTACAATTTAAGAACAGTCGTCAGTCGACACCAAATTCCGAATTTTCTATGCAAACTTTAAGATAGTTCTATTGTACGGAGCTGAGACTGGGATAACTACTACAACCATCATCAAAAAATTTTACTTACTTATAAGCAGTTGTCTATGCAAGATACTTGAGATATGTTGACCGGACACTTCCAGCTATAACCTACTATGACAGAACAAACGAACTACCAGCTGAGAAGTAAATAAGGAACGTCTCTGGAGGTAGATAGGTCACACTTTATGGAAATCATCAAACTGCATCACTAAGCGATTCCTAACTTCAAATCTTCAATAAAAAAGGAGACGGGAAAGACTAAAGAATGCGTTGCCCCATGAATTGTAGGCAGACATCAAAAGGATGAATAGCATTTGGAAGGAACTTGGAAGAAGAATTCAGGAAAGAGTAATTTGGAGAGTGCTGGTCGGCGACCTATACTCAATGAGGTAGCAGGCGTAAGAAGTAGTTAGTAGATACTGATTAATTTCTTGTGATGAATATACTCCTTAACTTTTCTGTTAACTTTCTTTTTATTGTTTATTTTATGAAAAGCTCATAGCTCATTTACAACAAGATGCCATCACTCGATCATACAGTAATTATAAAATTTCAGAGCAAAGCCCTTTTGAAAAATCTTTTGTGTCTACAAATACAGAATGGAATCCTGTGCAAATTATTCAAATCCTTATTGAAATTAAACGATGTTTAGATAATGTACAAACTATTCAAACATCAAGCAATGATAAATATCATCATCATTATCATCAAAATACAATGCATCCAAATATTAATTCATTTTTACCAAGTTCTACAATAGTTGGTGATATTTCTGTTCCATATGGTTCAACAACTGCAATTTTCCGCCCTTCTTGTGCTACTACCACTACTACGACTAATGTCGATGTTGGTAATTTTTCTCAACTCTCTTCTGCTCCAAGTCAAACTGCAACTGATTGTTTAGATACACTTCGTTCATATAACACATTAACTACAGAATTTGCTGGTGATGAAACTAGTCGATCTGCACATCATTATTATTATCATCATCATTATTATCATTATCATCCGAATGATACACAAATTAATGATAATAATAATAACACATCACCGAATAAACCGGCTGATTTATCTGCTCATTCAACAGCTATCAGTACAAATGATACATATGCAGACAGTATTTCTAAATATAAAGATCCATTAACTTAAAGAAAAATATCTTTCTACACATATACACTAGGTAAAATTAGTTTTAAACTCCACTACTTTATCAATCTGTTTATAATAATTTGTAGGTAATGTTTTATAGTTTTTTTTTCTAATGAAACATAAATCCATTATTTTGATTCAATGAAATAGAATTTAGTTTGTTCATAAACTGGTTGGTTAATTGGTTTGGATTAAATTAGAATGTTTTGTTATGAATTTATTTTCCTCCTTCTACACAATCCGATTATTATTATTATTATTATTATTATTATTATTATTATTATTATTATTATTATTATTATTCAGTTTGATATTACTTTAGGCCACTCTGACTTGTGGTGTTCCATTGTTTAACACTATCCATAAATTGTGCAAGAGTTAATTATTTCAGGCAAATCATTTAACAATTACATTAATTTTTACATTTTACTAACCAGTTATAGTTATTTTCTGTGTATAGATTCGATTACTGCCTTGTTTTGTTCTGCTTTACGTTAAGAGTTATTTTCATTTAGAATCAATAAATAAAATTTTGTACTATGATGCATTTATTCTTGTTTAGACCTTATAGTCTGTTAATTCTTTGGATTGTAGTATATTAGACAGGCTGTTTTTCTTCATAGGCTACTATATATATATAATTTACTCTTGTATTCTTTTTCCTTACTTGTTTTCTGATGTGTGTATGCGTACTAACTATCAGTGTGTTATTGTTGCCGGTGATGATTTGTATTTGTTTATTTTCGTTTTCTTAATTCACATGTTTTCCTCCATTTGTGTCGTTTTATTAAGATATATCCCTTTTTTATTTTAATTCGTTTATTTATTTACTGTTTCTTGTGAATCAATAGCTGCCATCAATGTATTCTCGCACCGTCCCCGCGCTACAAAGTTTACATTCCGTAAAAATCTGGGTTCGTTTGCTTCAAAAAATGTAGTCTCGATTTTTTTTACACACTGTTTTTCTTTTTTGATGGTAAACTCTTTTAATGGTGACAATTCCCCCAGGTTTTTCTTTCTTATTTTCTTGTCTATTACTCTTACTGTTACCAAGATAAAAATGTTCCAACTGAATCTGAAATCCTGTTATGGTTCTTATATTATTATTACCCACTGAATTGCCCTTTTATTTAATCCCGAATTAAAATATGGCTTACAATTGTGAACTTACATATGATACTAAATAGAAATGTGATTAATTATGTTGTCTTTTTTTCCGTTTGTTAAAACGTGGCTTTGGGAATGTTTATTAAACTGTTATGTCTATTCTCCTTGACTAGTATTAATTACAATTAGTTTGCATGAATCCTATAATGACCAGTTATTTACAAACATTACTGCGAAATTTCTAAAAGTGATGATTGTAGTTGACCATATATAAACTTATCTAATTGATCACCTAACTACTGCTCATTGTACCATTAACTTAGAGCCGTCACACGTATATAGTAGGGCGAGTGAAAATATTATGGGAATATTCAAACTCAAATACATACAGATCCCACTGCACAATTGTTAAGTTTCAATTTTACCATTTAAATCTAACTAGAATATTACGCATTTTGTTGGAATATATTATGATGAATTTAGGTCAGATGCTTAAAACTGAACTTTGGCGTGAAAAGTAAAGGTAATAATAGCGTAGTGATGTAATCTAATGATGATTGATGTGAAATAGTCATCGTTCTATGTGAAGTACAGAACCATTTTAGCTGCCCAAGAAATCGACTTTGATGGTTGAGTGTAAAACGGTACACGATTAATAGTAACACGAAAGGCATGGATACGTAATAATGAGTCAGGGGTAGAAAAGATTGAGCGATTCGAACATAGAATATATTTTAGTAGGTATCCAAGATGTATAGTCAAAATTTTTCTGAGAGATTTCTTATCTAGGTTGTCTTATTCGTTTCTACTACATTTACTAACAAGTACTTATACATTACAATTTCCTTGCAAATATTTTACAAACATTATCGGTCAGTTCAAAAGCTATTGATTGAATGTTCTTTTTGTTACATGAAACATCATTGGGATGAAGTTCATTTGCCATTCCATATTCCACATATCAAACAAGTTGACTTCTGCTCGCTGATATCCGAAAACTTTCATGTACTATAATCATTCATGTTCGGTTGTGAACAATATTCATATGTGACGTCACATCCATCAGTCATGATTTTGTATCTAGTATAGCTTTTTGTTGGGATATGTTCCTGTATCAATGGAGGCCCAATTTTAAGGATAATAATGATAATTCTCACCAAATTTTAAAGGGTTGATTAAATATTCTAGGTAAAGTTGATGAGTTTCTGTTTTGTACAAAATATGTATGCTTCCCATCCTTTTAAAATGTGTGCAGAGCTGAAGACAAACCATCATTGCCCTATAATAAAGACTGTTGTACTCACCATCAAAAGTACTGTAATTTACGTAATAATCATAGATCTAAAAATATGCTATCAGCTGCCCTTAAACACTCACTGCTATCATAACTCTTGGGATAGATATATGTACCAAGATAATACATAACTGATTTATATCAGTAGTATAGATTACATTTTAGTAGTATTATAGCTTAGCACAATGAAAAATGTAATAAAGGCACCATCGCAAAATAAATCAATGGTACAACACTTGGAATAGGTCAAAATAATCACTAAAGGTTATGCAGTGCAAAAGAAGGGAATGTATGAATAAGGAGTGTTTAAATAGGACGAATTGCGTGTCATATGCCCTCTAGTTCTTGATTGCAGCCCAATCTGTGACAAATATCACCTACGAATTAAACGAGTCTTGGCATTTGCCTTACATCAAAACTATAATCTTAAAATTTACGGTGAATTAATTGAAGATGATTGTCTGAAATTCTAATAGCAAGTCGTAACCAATAGAGTTTAACCATCTCAGGAGTGAAACAGTCGTCACTTATGACATCGTACTAGACAGTAAAACGGTTAACATAGCAAATGATTATCATTATTTCACAGATTGAAATCATGAGTCAGTTGAAGCTAGACCACCATTGAAAACCTGGAAGCACTGGACGGCCGTTTCGTCCTAGTATGGGATTCCTCAGCAGTGCGTATCCACGATCCCGCACCATCCGGGGCTCGAACCCAGGACCTACTGGCTTCGCGCGCGAGCACTTAACCATTAGACCACTGGGCCGGCGTCCAACGGTGTTAATGTCTAACTTCAACCAATCCACGAAGTTGCGCTACCGTACACCATTGTCCTCAGTGAGTTCCTATCTCACAACAGACCTGGTTGAACTCCACTGGTAACGACTTCTCACTAGAACTCCAGAAGTGTCTCCTGAAGTCAGTCACTAGTGAGCAGGTGATTATTGTTATCAGCTGACTCATGATTTCAATCTGTGAAATTTCTAAAATCTCCACAAAACCCATTCTGATAATGATTATCATTATATTTCAACTCTGTAATTCAATAGTTAGTTGCTTACTACAAAACCAATAAGCTTTAGGTTCAATTGCTTATGAAGCGATTAGTCTCCAATTCTGAAGAGTCTTATACTAGAATAAAACAGTATTATTATTATTATTGTGACTAAACGAACTTTATTGTACATTCAGCTACCCATATATATATATATATATATATATATATTCTGTATTCAGGTTTTGTTTTCCTTTCATATAAATTTAATTAATTAATTTGTTCTCATGAAGTAAATCAATGAAAACATTTACAATCCTCTAGAGAACTACTTTAATTAGTGAATTATACTTTTATTTTATTGTTTGATTTCGGTATACTTAGTTACTCTTTTACAATAAATCTATAAAATGATCACATTAAAGTTCATGTTAATCTACAAACAAATAATAATACGAAAAAAGATATTTTGATTAATTTATTAATAATTAAACTTGAATTTTTTTAAAAAAATAATCTACATTTCTCATTTTAGTTTATTTACTTTTTTTTATTTTTCCTTATAATCAAATTACTTTCAATAGATGGAAATAATTATTAATGAAATTTTTTTTTTATAAATACAAAAATCTATTCTTATTATTATGATTGATAAACTGTTGTTTTTCTTTATTTGTATCTTTTCAATGATAAAAAATATAAGTGAATTAATTTTGACAAATTATATGTGATTAATTTATTGAATATAAACATAAGATGAGTTGAGATTGAAGTTAGAACACTGTGGAAAACTTGAAAGCATCAGAAGCGTTCGTACGTGTGACTGAAGATCTTGGATTCGAATCCTATGAATGGGATTGTGGATGCGCACTATTGATAAGTTCTATACTAGGACAAAACAGTCATCCAATGCTTCCAGGTTTTCCATAGTGATCTAGTTTCAATCGACTTATGATTTTAACTATTAAATTACTACAATGTTGACAAAATCCTATTTTGATAATAAACAATATGTTGATATATACGAATATTCGTCAAGATTAGAACGAATAGTTTGACAGTAATTGAGCGCCGAGTATAGAGAAGTCATTATATGTGAAAATTATATTTGAAATATTCTCAGCGATTGAAATTTAAGTAATTCCAACGTTTCGTCCAGCTAACTTGTCTGGACTTCTTCAGGGTAATAATCAAAATCAAAATTATCAAAGACATATATAGCTTTTAACAATCGGGATTATACTGTATTAAACCAATCATATTTGGATGTTGATTTTTTGTAAAATAGGATCAAATGAGTCAGTTAACTACAAATCATGTGAAGAGTTCAACTACATAGAAATAATTAACTGAGTAACAAATCGTACATACTTGCACACTCACACACATACGATTTGTTACTCAGTTAATTATTTCTATGTAGTTGAACTCTTCACATGATTTGTAGTTAACTGACTCATTTGATCCTATTTTACAAAAAATCAACATCCAAATATGATTGGTTTAATACAGTATAATCCCGATTGTTAAAAGCTATATATGTCTTTGATAATTTTGATTTTGATTATTACCCTGAAGAAGTCCAGACAAGTTAGCTGGAC